CCGCGCCATCGGCGATGGTACACGTGTCGAAATCTGATGTCCCCATCAACATAAATCTCTTTTCTCCATTGTATTATGTTAAGAGTCATCTTCTCATCTAAATCTAATAAAAAAAAAAGTCATTTCTAATATTTTCTAACCAAGTCTTTTAAGGTTTACCTCTACCTTTTTTTAACATAAGTCAAATCTAATACATCTACTTTTCTAACCGGGTCAACGAAAGGCCATCGTTTTACATGACCAAACCATTAAGGCGACTCTCTTTAATCTTATCTTCCACTGGAGCTACTCCAATCTTTTCACGTATATGCGCATTTCGTACCCTGTCTCTAAGATTAAAGCCACTCATCCACCTGAGCATCCTCATCAGTCATCTCTGCAACACTTAACTTAATATTATGCTTCTCTTTGAATGGACAACATTCTCTACCATAAAGCATTGCAGGTCTCACTACCATCTTATAGAATGTTCCCTTAAGTTTGAGAGGGACTTTTCTAACACACAACAAGCTCGATGTATTCCTCCACTTCAACCATCCAACTTGAATTCTACTAATAATATCTCGATCTGTTTCACCATCACTATGAACAAAAACCCAACATATCTAAAATGTGTACTTTTATTAATGACTTGATCGCTCAAAGTAACAATCCCCCCACTAGATCTATTATTACTAAAAGTACACTCAGTATATTTAATTTTATATCTACTCAAATGAAAGCCTTTAGACTTTAAGGTTGACCTCCATAATTCAAGTTTACCTTCAACTCTCTCCAGTCTTATTAACAAGAAGAATATCATCAACAAAAAGCATGCACCAGGGTACAACCTCTTGCAAATGTCTAGTGAGAACATCCATGACTAAAGTAAAAAAGATATGGGCTTAAGGCTGATCCTTGATATAATCCAACTGAAATAAGAAAAAACTTGGTCAAACCACCTTGTGTTTGAACACAAGTAACAACTCCTGCATACATATCCTTGATGACTTGAATATAAGCATTATTAACCCCTTTTTAATGTAGAACTCTCCATAACTCTTCTCTTGGAACTTTATCATATGCTTTCTCTAAATCAATAAAAATCATATGCAGATCCTCATTATTCTCTCTATACTTAATCAAACCTTCAAACCTCTCAATAAATATATAACTTCCATAGTAGACCTACCTAGCATGAAGCCAAATTGAATTTAAGAAACGTTAGTGTCACGCCGCAACCTATGCTTCATAACTCTCTCCCATAATTTTAAAGAATGACACATTAACTTAATTCATCTATAATTCCCACAGTCTTGTGCATCACCTTTATTCTTAAAAATAATAAAAGTGAATCAAAGATAATGGTGAAATAAAATTGACTTTTAGCACATACGACCTATGAAATTCAACTTAAATTTCACAAATCTATTATCGAAGAGCCTCTCAAACTAAACTTACTGACCCTCAATAACAAATGGAATTATCCAATTTTGGATGGAATGAAGGTATTAAGCATGCAATCAAATAGCCTCGAATAAAAAAAAAAAATCCTCGCATTATGTAGCACACAACGCTAAAAGACTATATTTCTCAAAAGAAGTAAGAAGAAGAATAGATTGGAATGTATACGAAGCTTTAGGATTCTCAGGAAACCATAATAACCATTATTAAGGTGTTTCAAGTGATGAAAACATTTTCATACAAATAGATATTCTATGGTAACCATATGTTGTTAGAGGACGAGAGCTCTTATAGAATAATGATGAGCAGGAAGTAGGAATTGTTGTTATTGCAATCACAAGTTGCAGTCACTAATAAGGCGAAGAAATAAGATTCAGTGTAATGTGTGGGGTTTGATTTGGTTGATGAGGGTTTTGATGTAGGGGAGTCGATGTAGATCTTGATGGTAGGTAGGAATATGTGTGACACATTTGCCAACAAGGGTTCTTGCGTGTATTGATTTCATGTTTATTGTGGGAAAAGTTTTGTGCAACATACAAGCTTTTTTAGTGAAAAATTATAGGCAAGGACTTGAGGTGAAGCTAATGAAAGTTAGCTCAATAGGTAGGAACATCTTTTGCAAGTAAAAGTCGTGTTTTATGTGTTTTCTATTACTGAAAAATATTAAGTTGTATTTATTTTGCTTTGCACTAGGCAACTAAAGTTAAGACTCCTACTAATGACATAATCTACATTTATTTTACTTGCAACAAAACAATCCCTTGTGAATTATGCAAATTTTGATTACAAATTATGAATTCATTTTTGTTTACTAATAAAGTTATATGTTTAAATCATTAACGTCTAATATTTAATTAGTTTAGGTTGATTAAAGCTAGATTATAGCTCAAGCTTATTAAGAAAATTAATAAACAATCTTCAAAAATATTTTTTGTAGTCAAGTAATGTTCAAACTCAACTTGAACTTATAAGAAAATAAGTGAATAAGCTTAAATAATGTAACACTTAGCTCATCTCAATTCATTTGTAATACTGTTGACGCATAAATATTTTGTTTTTCCAGTGTTTCTAATCATCACATTTTTAATTTTACAAGATTTTTGTGCTTAGAATTCTAGTTGATATTAGATTTTTATTTCATTTTCCTATGTATAAATTTATGCCTTTCAACTTTTCTTGTATTTATTTGATTGTATCAACGAATGATTTTAACTTTGCTTTTCAAATTTTCTTGTATTTTTTTTATTTTATGGATACTTTAGACATCATATTGTCATACCGCACAATATTATATTGTTTGTAGGAGGTGTCAAAAGTTATGTACTGCTAACTTATTTGTATACCGTAATTTCAAAATCAGAAGATTTTAGAAGTAACACTATTCACTAAAATGGAAGCATTTTCAAAACTTTTTCTATTTATTCAATTACAAAGCTTCTAATTACACCATGATTTATTTGTATTTTGTCAAATTTCAAAATGGACATACATGCTAAGCTTTGTTTTACACAAAACTGTATACTCAAAAGATAGAGCGGTAGATTAAAATATGAACCTTATTCGTGTTCTATAGTTTCCTTTTCCTTATAAAAACATTCAATATAGTTTGTACGAGCAAAAAAAGCTCAGCAAGATAAATAATTCTAATACAAAATTCAATTATCATAAATAATCATTTATATTGATACATTAATTTAATGTGTTACCTGAAATCCTTAAACATGAAAATTTCTGAATAACATCTTTACATGTAAGTGAAATATCTAATTGGAAACAAAACTTTTAGCAGAATATTAGATTATCAAGTATGAATAATATGCCATTGAAAATGTGCACAAGTATTATTTTATTAAACTAATCCTTTCCAAATTTCTTTTATTGGTTATGTATAATGTTGTTCTTTTAATTTGAAAATATATCACATATGTGAGTGTTTTATTGGCTATCATAATTTATAAGTTTGAAAGCTACATGTAGAGGACACTTTTGTTCCTATAAGGATCCACTTTCGTTGTCATATCTGTACAGGTCATCATATACATCTTAATTTGAGGACCTTTTTTACCTCCATATGTGTTCATCCTTGTCGTCATACATGTACAGGTTATAACATTGCTAATGTATCCATACACATCATTTTTTTGAAGCTCATTTCCTTAAATTTCATTTTTCAATTATCTAGATGTATGCATCATTTTCTATTATTATAACATTATATATACAAACAATTTTAAAATATTAAATTTGTTAACATATTTTATATTTTCATATAAATAATGTTTAAGTGCAATTAGTTTATGTCGCAATCAAATATATCCGTTTAGACTCAATTATTTCATATGAATTTATTTTTTGAGTTTAAATTGTGCATCTTATCTAAGATTATGTTGATAATCAATGTCCAGATAGACTATCTCGTTATTGTCACCCAAAATCTCTTTTGTTTGTAAACAATATAAATAATAGATTTTTTTAGTTAAAATCCTAACCTCAAAATAACCTCTACTCATATAAATCACAAATTTCACAACTTCAATTCACAGTCAATTCGATGAAGGAAATCACAAAAAAATTGGATTTTACCTCCAAACCCTAGTTTTTTCTTCTTCTTCTCTGGCCAGCCTTTGGTTCATCAAGTTTTTCTGCTACAGCTAGCTTACGTGACGGAGCATAGGGATTCGAATGGCTTATGTATTATCAGTTAATACATATGAGTGCATTTATGTGTTTGTTTGCTAACCTACTATAAACTATATTCTAATATTCCCTTCACAACCATTGAGTCTCATCTACCAATGTATTAATAGCTTAGTCGATTTCCAGATTCCTGCTACAGTGCGATAAATTCCTGAACAGCAAAATTAGTCTTACCTTAGGTGATTTGCTTAAAATGTATTTTACTTTGTGCAAGCTTATATAATCACAGTTTTCTATATATATGTATGTATACATATAAAAATGATAATTACAAATTACAAATATTTTAAAATAGTTTAGATAAATTTTGGGGCTTTTACCTTTTCAAGATTTTGGAATATTAGAAATATAATGTTTACCACAATGTTCATGCAAGAAGAGGGAGCAAGGTTACACATGCCTAATGCTTATTAAGTATGAAAAGTGCAAACCAAATTAAAACTTACTAGATATTCAGCTGACTAGAACGTTTATAAAATAGGACTATGTTTTGAATCACCCTATTGTGGAAGAGAAATTGATAAGTGTCTGCACTTTTTTGTTGTTAAGATTTCCCACTATGAATTCTCAAGATATATATTGGATGTAAATCTAGATTGAAAAGGGGCAGTGCTTGTAACAATTATTTTGATAATACAGCGGTGAGTTGGTGAGTTTCCAAGACAAAGAACAATCAATTGTGTTTTGATGTCAGAAGAACAAATGCTTTAATGGGTTGGTTAGCAAAGAATCCAATTATTCAATCGATAGAGCTTGTAGGCTTATTGTAATCTTTCTTGCTTTGTAAATCCCACTGTTAAATTTATTATGTTAATCCTTTTCATTTAACCTTGTATTAACCAACATTTTTTATGCATCAGCGAAGTTTACATAAAGGCTTTCTCAAAAGGAACACCACTTACCATACGGCAAGTTAAAGCCTCAAATATTGGGCAGCTTGTAAAGATTTCAGGCATTGTTACACGGTGCTCCGATGTAAAGCCCTTGATGCAAGTTGCTGTTTACACTTGCGAAGAGTGTGGATTTGAGATCTATCAGGTATTAAACGTTCAGATTGAAGTTATCAGATCAAACTGCTGTTAGTGTGCAACTGTAATGTTTTAGGATTATTTTATATATCTTTGCTCGTTTCCTTTAGTTCATGCATCTTTTTTGGTTATAGCTTATACGCCTGCTACAAATGAACATTGAAATAAACTTTTTAGAGGGTTAGTACCCATTTCTTACTATAGGACATTATTTTGAAAGAAGAATGCATCTAAAATTATGATAAATTAATTGCAACTCCTTGAGGTTTAAGTCTGCTTCATGTTGGCCATTCACTTTTTTGAAAACCCTTTACTTCTGTCCTCCACATTTAAAATATATTTTATGATGGTGCTTCTATAGACGAAGTCCTTAGCTGAGAGCAAAATATCAGAAATACACTATGCTCTTTCCTTTCTCTCAAGCTGCTCTTTCTAGTTTTTTTTCAGCCATGGAGTAAGATTACTGAAGGTTATGGAAGAGTCAACAATCTTGCAGCGAAGCACATATCACCAATGAATTCTTTAGTCCCTTTTCCATTCCAATACTCTTGTTAGCAACAATGAATTCTTTATCTACTCGTCCATCTCAATGTGCTGTATCTTTTATGCCCTGCCGTATTTTGTTTCTTGTTTCAACATTCGTAGAGTCACATCACGGGATGTTCGGATAATATGACATCTTCTACAGCCACATATAATTGAATCCTACCTTCTCCAGTTGTCTTGTGTTATTCTCTAATTTGGTCCCAGAAATTGACTTCTTTGATCCAAATTTTGTCGATCAATGGACCTATTATAGAAGTTACTTTTAATGTTGGGTGTTTAGGGGTACCTCTACCCAAAAGAGAGGAGCATTTTAATCAACCAAATCTCTTAGCATTTAAATTTCGGTGATGTGAAACAATATCCATGCGAAAGTGATTTGCTTAAAGAAGTTTGCACGCTTAGATTTAGAGGCAATAATAAACAAGATCTTATGCGGAATTGAACGATAAGATAAATATGAAGTGGTACTTAGCTTAGGTTAATTCTCATGCATAGAAGTTAAGTTCAAAAGATAGCCATCTTAATCCAACATTGCATACGTAGATTGTTCTAACAATAAATTCAAAGACTAACAATAAGATTAGTCGCTATGAGAAGATCCCTCATTCAGCTCATCCAATTACTAGGTTTTAGCAGATAAAAGACTAACATAATCTTCGTGAGTCAAGTTACAACCACATTCGAGAAATAAACTAAGAACAAACAAGAGTTGGTGAGGAGTTCACCCGTAGAAGAAGACGTGGAGCCCGTTGGTGGTTTGGGTGTTGGGGAAGTAGTGGACAGCTATTTGATATCTTCGGCTATCTCAAACAGCCCTCGGGAGCCCTTCCAAATGGCGGGACAGCAAAGAGCATGCGCCTAATTTTCTGGACAGCAGTCTTGGCAGAGTGGCCAGCAGCTTGGACTTGCAGATAACTATGGACAGCAAGTTCTGTCTTCCAGAATTCTGGACAGCAACTCAACCAGGGAAAATCTGGAATAAAAGCTGAACTTGCGTTTGAAAGGGGAGGTAATTAAGAGGTGATGAGGTGGCAATTAGAGAGGGAAGCAATGAGGTTGAGGTGGCCGGCCATAAGGAGAGAGAAAGGCTTGGTATTAACTCACATAAGGCCCCCAATTTAATCACAGATTTATTCAAAATCTGAAACGGAAGTTCCAGGTCTCAATTAAGTGGAACGTTTCCTTATGTATGGCCCTCAATTGAATTGATTTGGGATTTCAAATTGGATGGGAAAATTTATTTGAAATCAATTTCAATTTCAAATAGGATGGGCATTAAAGGAGCAATCAATGGGGAGAAATCCTTCATGGGGCCGGCGGCATGGTGAGAGGGGAGAGGGAGATTAGGGAGGGATTAGGCGCTTTCCAATTGAGTCGATGCCACCTTGGATAAAAATATAATAATTCCACATGTCATGAAATTTGGATTGGATCAATTCAAAAACTTTCCTTTTTAGAAATTTTGCAAATATGGAAAGTTTTGAATTTCAAATTTGAAATTCAAAATCGGTAACTCCTTTATTTATTGCTAGGCCACAATCAAGGAGCCATTATGATGATTGACATCTTCATCATGGCTTGGAGCAAGGGGGTGGCCGGCGGCCAAAGGAGGAAGAGGGGCTTGCCGTCGGGTTTGGGGATTTCTTGATGAAGCTTGGGTTGTAGTGGAGGAAGCTAGTGGGTAAAGTGGTGAATGATGGGATCTCGGGTAGGGCTTGGCGTGGGGAGGAGGAAAATGAGAGTTGGAGAAGAAAATAATAAGATAAAATAAACCACGAGTCGAGGACGCTTCCAACGCTGGTGGGTATTGCTTTTGCCCTCACCTTGGGCTTTCTATAGAACTCACACAGAGATCTAGGAGAAAAGAACTCACTAAGAGATCTTCAAGAAGGAACTCACAAAGAGAACACAAGAGCCAAATTTTCATTCAATAATCATCATCCTTTCCAAGAGGAAGGGGAAGGCTTAAATAACCAAATACATGAAGGAAAAAATAAAAGACATTATTGCCCCTAGGGCCACATAAGACAAAACCCTCAAGTGAGGGTAGAAAGGGAAAAGTACAAATAACAAATAAAATACATCAAGATAAGTAAACACGATCGTAGCCGTTGATCTTCGATGTCCTCATCATTCGGTCTTGAGGTGCATCACATTGGCTGAAGGTTGTTTTTAGCAAAAAAAAAAAAACAAAAAAGAAAAAGAAAAGAAAAAAAAGAACCGAGGATAAAATTGGAAATTAAAAATGGATCTAAGGCCCAAAATGTTGTGTTTCAACGAATGTGCACTAATGTGAAGTGCCCTTATATTTAAAGATTTGCATGTAACTTACCATGAATAAATCTAATGACATGCTAGAATCTCTGCAATTTGAGGTTAATCAGACTTCATCAAACAAGCAATATTTATTGATGCTTCACCAGTTCTTAACCAGAGTTTAAATGCTTTTACTCAAAGTACCATCTTACAAGGGCTGATGATGATAATGGTTTAATTTTCATAACAACCATAACCAAGCCTGTGTTAAGGCCTCTTTTTCGTGTAAGATGTTTTTATGCCCCTTGCTTATGTGTTTGAGACTTATATTTCTTGAAGCTTTTTTAACAATGTCGTGTGACCAATGAGTCGGGTCATTTTTTTTCTTGATTTGTTCTCAGTTGAAGTATAATATTCTTTAAATTCCTTTTTTCCACTTACCATCTTAAATGTGAAACTTCCAGGAAGTGACTGCTCGAGTATTTATGCCTCTTTATGAGTGTCCATCAGTTCGGTGCAAAACAAACAACACTAAGGGTAACCTTATACTTCAACTGAGAGCTTCAAAGTTTTTGAAATTTCAAGAGGTAGTTTCTTTCATCTATTGTCTTATCAATTTTCATTTGCAAGCGGTTTTAAATTTATAAATGAGTCAACTTTGCCTTGGTTAAGATAATATTATCCAGACGTATTTTTACTAGGGAGGGCAGTGGAATCTGCATTCTTGACAAGTGGTTATCCAATAAGCTTGTTTGGCATATGGTGCCCTTATTTAAACCACACTAGTGTGAGAACTTCAAACAATTTTGCTTTAATTTTAGCAATTTTTACAAATTTAGTGGGAAAAGCCCTTCAGGAATATGGCTTTCTCATGAGATGTCAGAAACTTACATGGAAGAGACGTTAATTGAACTGTTGCTTCAGCACAAAAGGCCTAAAGCAATTTGCTTTGAAAATGTAGCTGGTTATTAACAACATTTATTTGAATTTGAATAAGTTGTTCAATAAACTTTTAGGGCATTTTTGCATTTCATGTCCGAAGTTATACCTATGGATTTCTAATTATGGGTTTAGTGATCCATTAAAAACAAACTAGGATGCACAAACACAAATATTGGGACACTAATATGCAGGATACGAACATATAACATGTTTATTATTGAAAATATAGGGCACGAACATGTTAGACACAATATTATAATTTTTAATTTTTTAAAAATAAAAAAAATAATGCATATAAATTAAAGAAAATAAGTAGAATAAACTTATGTAGTTTACCGTTATAAGAGTGTCTTTTATTTTTATTGCACATTGCATAATGTATTTATAAAAATTATATTTAAAAATTAAATAGTACAGCTTAAACAAATGGTAGATAAAATCATAGCATGAAAATTGAAATTGTGTATTATTTGAATTTTTTTATTAATGACGTTTCTTTCTATAATAAATTTATAGTTTTAATTAAAATTTATTAATTTGGAGGGTTCATTTCAATTTTTTTATTATTATTTAGTGTTTATTTGAGAGCTACGGGTTTTGGCATTGAGAGGAGAGGATGTCAATCATTGCCTTATTGGGCTTGGTGGTCGGCTTGGGTATTGACAAGGGAAGTACTCCTGTCGACTGTCGTAAGTATTTAAAGTTGTGCTCTGGCATTCAGAGGGGAGTTGTGTTTGGTACGTCTCATATAAGCGCGTAAAAAAAATTTGTGAGGGAAGTGTGAGCAAAATATATCACTGTCGGACACGCAAGTATGATTTTCTTAATTTTTTTTTTTATTTTGATAGAACATATGACAGTCTTATCCAACATTTTTCAGACTCGTGTTGGGCGCGTGTTTGTGTCCTACACATATCGGATGCTGCATACCCCCTTAACATTAAGGGCCAATGCATCATACAAACAAATCATGAAATTCAAAATTTTCTTCCTTAATATTGTTCCCATATTGTGGAATTTAAATTTTAACTACAACAAACAAAACAGTCCTGAATGTTAAGGCTTGGTGGATCAACGCAGGTTTCCAAGCTTTGAGAAAGTGGAACAGGTACTTATGACCTAATTTGCATGAGCTTATTAGATAGAAAAACTTGAGCATGCAACATTATAGAAGCTTGGCCATGAAGCATAATATGTTAACTTATTGAATAAAGAATCAATGATGGGTAATGAGAAACATTGTTGGAAATATTTTGTTGAGAAAGTATTCGGAGGCATTATCACGAACAAAGGCTTTAAAACTTCAAAAGAATGGCCACACTAGGATGCCTAAAATTGTCCTGCTACCTGTAGTTTGGCTGTGATGTCATATGCTTGATTTTTGTAAAGAAATACATTTTTGGAGTTTTAAAGTTTTATTTAGCGAACCAGTTTGGTACTTTTATTCATAAATGGATAAAACCTCTTTCATTGCCGTTAGCTGAGCTTTCTTTGATGATGCCATATCCTTATATATAGTACAACTGAGCTACATTGTAACTTATTGTAGCTTAAGGGTTTTTTTTATGGCTTATCACACTTTGAGGGTTCAAATGGAACCAAACTTAAATCAAGTTATTGTTTTTCCACTTTTGGTTAACTGAAATAGGCTTGAATCGTTTTCTTTTGCCATTATTTAATACCCCCATCTGTGATGCCATACCCATTTAGAACTCATCTTGTATTTAAGCCCACATTTGGGATAGGACTAATGATGATGATGATTATGAATATCATAAATAGGTTTGTTGGCCTCTGTTGTGAGCTGGAGATCATAGGTTTCAGTCATAGAAGCAGCCATTTCTAAGTGAATGAGTATAGTTGCCTACCACAAGCCTTCCTCTTACCCTACATTGATAGGACTTAGGAGCCTCATTTATTAGGTTTTCAGCTTTCTGCTTTCATAAGCTGCCATTATATTAATTTTACCAATACTTCTTGTCTAATAAACCACTATTTTTTAATATATTTTGCATGGTTGAGGTTGAGTTGTTTTTTATAATTAATTGAGCTAAAAGAATTAACACACGACCTGTCAATTTTGGGAACTTTTAACGCCTTCATATTTTCTTACTGGTGGCTCTTTCGTCTTCTTCTGTTCTCTTTTTCTTATGTCGTGACACTTTGTGCTTTGCTGTAGGCTAAGATTCAAGAGTTATCTGAACATGTTCCAAAAGGCCATATTCCACGGTCTTTGACAGTTCATCTCAGAGGAGAGCTAACTAGGAAGGTAGGCATTGCCCTTTTATATTCTATCTTTGATTTCTTTTTTCGATGTTTGTTTTCTAAATTCATTATTAGTATTATAGGAGGGGTATTAATATCCAACAGCGATGCTTATCCTTCTTATATCAAGAAAGTTCTCATTTTCACTTAAAATCTAAACTTGTTGTTCTCAGAGCTTCTAGGAACTTAAAAAATTAGATTGATGTAATAATTCTTTTAAAATTATCTTCTAAATCAAGAAACTGGATTTGGCTCTGTGGCTCCAAGAGTCTAGATCGTCTATATCTTCCGCATGATGTAGTTACAGGTGTTCTATATTATATTACAAGAAACATTCTACATGTCATTCCTTCTATTCAGGAGTTTGATTTTATGTAACCTCATGTTCATTTTTGTAGTTGAAATATTTCAGATAATAGGCTACTTCCCAGTTCCTACTAAAATAACCAGAGTCATTATATTGACTTTTATTTCACATTTCAGTATGAAGTTATTTCCGAATTAGTATAACTAATCTTTTGTTGTATCAGGTTGCCCCAGGTGATGTTGTTGAGCTTTCTGGAATTTTTCTACCAATTCCATACACCGGATTTAGAGCTATGCGGGCAGGCTTGATTGCAGATACATACTTGGAAATCATGTCTGTCACCCATTTTAAGAAGAAATATGAAGAGTAAGACATCTTATTTGGTGGTGTAAACTATGCAAATTTGTGGTGATCTGAGCTACCATGTCCATGTTTTTTTCATAAGCACTGCTTTCACGCTGTGTTAGTTTACACTTTACAGTGTTGAGGCTTTCTTTGAGTACTGTTTAGTGATTATTTTTAGGCTTCCGTTGTATAAAAGTTAGTGTACAATGAAGATAGTATAATAAAAGAATTTTTAGTGGTTTGGACATGCCCAATAAAAGATATAAAATATACAAATTAGCTGGGTATAGAAAATTAATATTGAAGGAAGGATTAGAAAGGATAAACAGTAAACCAAATATAATTTGGATAGAAGTTAAAAAGATTTGTGGAGAACAATTTTAACATATCTTGAAGCAATCAATGATGATGAGTGACATAAAACTCAATCATCATCTTTAGAAGGCAAGTGATCATTCATCCCTGGCTAAAAATGAACATTCCCATGTCATCCAACAATATAGTATGATTATGGAACTCATGCGGGAAACAGAGCTGACAAAAAACGTATATAGGCCACTTATATTTTAATACTGCTGAAAAGGTTGATATATAACTTGTTAACTACTTCAATCCTTTCATTTATGTATATGCAAAATTGTGGCAAATGAAATTGCTAGCAAATATTTCATTCTTTGTGTATGTGTATGTGCAAAACTGTGGCAAATGAAATGACTAGCAGAAGTCATTTCACGTAAACTTGGGGATGCGTTAGCCACATTTTATTTCAAAATAAATTTTTTTGGAACAAGTTCAAAGTTTTGCAAAGTTTGTGTTTTAAGTTGATCTTTTCCACTTGATTGCATCTTTCGGGCAAACTGGGTGGTAAATTTAGTTTTATTTAAGTGCAGCTATGAACTTAGTGAAGATGAGCAGAAGCAAATTGAAGGCCTAGCTGAGGATGGAGATATATACAATAAGCTTGCAAGGTCATTAGCACCTGAAATTTTTGGTCACGAGGATGTGAAGAAGGCTCTTCTTCTCCTTCTTGTTGGTGCGCCTCACCGGAAGCTCTCCGATGGTATGAAGGTATGGAATATGATCTATGATATTGTTAAACTCTGATATGCTTTGATGGTTAATGTAATGTTAATTTCCTAATTATTTTAAACAATTTTAGATGTGATGTTTTATTTTAAGTTATTGGGTATCTTTTTCTTCTTGTTTAGTGATCAGTTATATTTATAGTTGAGAAGACCAAGCAAGATGTGCCTCTAAATATTTCCATGCATGGAATGATTCCTTTTTTTTTTCTTTAACATTTTGTCTAAATATGTCAAAATATATATATCTCATTCTGCAAGCATCTTTTGCAAATTCGTCAAGTATTTTAAAAGAAATCCATCCAAAATTTCAGATCAGAGGTGATTTGCATATATGTTTGATGGGTGATCCTGGGGTTGCAAAAAGTCAGCTGCTTAAGCATATTATAAATGTAGCACCAAGAGGGGTGTATACAACAGGCAGAGGAAGCAGCGGTGTTGGTCTGACTGCAGCTGTTCAGAGAGATCCGGTCACAAATGAGATGATTCTTGAAGGAGGAGCTCTGGTAAGCTGCTTATCTTTCATTGTACTATCAATAAATCCACTCATATGGAAAATGAAGTCATATACTGATTATTCAAGCACAGAAAATGCAATCTAGTTGTCTGGTGCAAATATATCACATAATTTTTGAAGCAAATAATTTGCTATCCTGCAAGGGGCAAATTATTCTGTATGGACACCGGACGCATGCTTGTGTTCGGATTGCTGTGCTTTTACTATGCTTTTGAGGTATTTTTGCAAAAGGGTAGCTAATACACAATTTTAATTACATATTAGCTGCCATTTTACTGCTCTTTTACTAAATATTTGAAAAGCGCAACAAAAGGGCAGCAATACTCAATGAGTAAGATATTTGTTGCGCTTTTGCTGTATTTTTGCAAATACTCAGCAAAAGGGCAGCTAATATGCAATTAAAATTGTGTATTAGCCGCCTTTTTGCAAGAATACCTTAAAAGCACAATAAAAAAACAGTAAAAGCCCAACAATCCGGACTCAAGCTTGCGTCTGGTGTGTGCACAAAATAATTTGCCAGCTCGGACCTGAGTCTGTACAATATTTAATGTACAACTTCTTTATAAAGTTAGCTCTTGACCTACAAACATACTAGTTTCTTTCATGCCTACAATAATTCTAGCAAGTTGAAGCGATGCAAGATAGGATGCCCCTTTATGTTTATTTAGAAATTTTATAATGTTAGTTTTAAATAATGATTAAGTTTGATTTTATTTTGGTAAGATTGGATTTGTTATTGTTATCCTTTATTAGATTTGGTCATGGTTAATCTTTTAGTATGAGAGCATCATCTTCTTCAACATCATGAAGCCTATATGTTGTGCGGCAGTGCACCCAGATCTATACAATCATGAAGTTATCTACATGATATAAATATTATTATCTACTTTTTTGTGCATTTATCAGAATATTGTTTGTAATTTATACTTAAATTCATGATTTAACTATATGTAGGTACTTGCTGATATGGGCATATGTGCCATTGATGAGTTTGATAAGATGGAAGAATCGGATAGAACAGCAATTCATGAAGTTATGGAGCAGCAAACAGTTAGCATTGCGAAGGCTGGAATCACCACTTCACTTAATGCCAGAACGGCAGTTCTTGCTGCTGCAAATCCTGCCTGGTAAAGCAGGAACCCCTACCTCCTGCACCTTTTATGTTAAGGCTTCGTTTGAGACAACTTTCTTATTGCTTCTTAAAGTAATTTCTTAGTATAAAATTAAAAATTTTGTACTAAAAAGTTGCTTTAAGAAGTAGAAAGAAAGACGTCTCAAACAAAACCTAAATCTTGACTTGTAACTTCTGGCCCGCTTCTAATTTGTGCTTCTCTTTTGAAGGGGAAGATATGATCTTCGACGATCTCCAGCTGAAAACATTAATCTTCCTCCTGCCCTTCTTTCACGTTTTGATCTCCTTTGGTTAATTCTGGACAAAGCAGACATGGACACTGACCTTGAAATGGCAAGACATGTTGTCCACGTCCATCAAAATCTTGAATCACCTTCACTTGGCTTTACTCCACTCGAGCCATCGGTCCTCAGGTGTTCCACCATTCCAAGCTTTGCATAATGTTGATTACTCTCACATATTACAGTGTAAAAGAAACTAATAAATGCAATTTTAATATTTCAAACTCCTTATGCTAAAGCATAATGCTTCGAATTGATAGAGATGGTCTTTAAACAATTGAGTCTTTCTCCAATACTAAATATCAGGATCATATTTCAATCATAGATATTAAAACAAATATTGGTCAAACTATTGTCCAAACATTTAAGGAAAATTTACATACATATCACTTTATACCATTCTATATCTAACACCCAAAATTTTAATATTATATACATACCGTCCTATATTATTTTAATATCAAATATACCACTCATATTTCTTTCATTTGTACCACTCATATTTGATATGAAAATGAATTATGGGCGGTATGTATGTGATATTAAAATTTTAAATGTTAAATATATAAATAGAATAATATAGGGTGGTATGTATGTAAATCTCCCAAAGCAGCAAAATGTATTTTTTTTTTCCAGTAAGTGCCTTTTCATCATCATTATCAGCTCTTCTCAGCTGTTAGGAGTTAAATTTATAGTGTTCAATTAGTTCCACTTTGCTGATTGATTTTTCAAACACAGAGCATATATATCAACTGCCAGAAGAACAAGTCCTTCTGTCCCAAGGGAACTTGAGGAATATATAGCTACTGCATACTCAAGCATTCGCCAAGAAGAAGCCAAATCAAGTGCACCTCACTCTTACACCACCGTCAGGACACTGTTGAGCATTCTACGGATTTCCATTGTTTGTTTCTTCTTAAAATTCTCAAACTCGGTTTCCTTTGTGTTGTCCATTTAGGCTTCGTTTGGGATGGCTTTCTTACTGCTTCTTAAAGCAGCTTTCCAGGACAATTTTTAATTTTCGTACTAAAAAACTGCTTTAAAAACAGTAAGAAAGCCGCCCCAAACTAAGCCTTAGTTTACTTTAAACCAAAGTAGTTTTGCAAACTGTACAGCTTTGCTACCCTGAAAGAGTTAATCTTTCATATCTGTGTGCAGGCTCTGGCAAGGCTTCGGTTTTCGGCAACAGTAGCTCAGAGTGATGTGGATGAGGCATTGCGATTGATGCAAATGTCAAAATTCTCATTGTATTCTGAGGATCGCCAAAGATCTGGTTTGGATGCTATCTCTGACATCTATTCAATTCTGCGGGATGAGGCGGCGCGATCAAACCGCTTAGATGTGTCATATGCTCATGCTCTCAATTGGATATCTAGAAAGGTATGCCTGCCCATATTATGTGCACTTGTGAAACTGGACCACCTTTCGGTAGCTCAAGAAAAGAGCTCATAGCATTTTTTATGAATGAAAATGATATAAAAACTAAGGCACCACAGTTTTAGATAATCTAGTTTGAAGCTTTTTAGCTTTCCTTAGGCCGGTTTTGAAAGTATATGACATTGGACTGAGCTGCCTGCAATATTTGTTTATACATGAAGTTTCTATTTTCTACCAAAATATTATTGTCAGCACTGCGTCAGTATTCCCACATAGTTATATCAAGGGAGGATAAAATGTTTGCTATTTATGTATTTTATTTCCTTAACATGAAGTGATTTTTTGCTAAACTAACCACATGTAGGGGTGTAAATGAGTCGAGTCGAGCTCGAGTCAGGGGGTGCTCGAGTTGAGTTCAACTGTCAAATACCTAGCTCAAGCTCGAGCTTGAGTCGAGCTAAAAAATTGAGCTCAAGCTTTTGAGCTCAACCTCTACTCGTTCCAACTTAAACGAGTTTGAGCCGCATGTTGAGCCTCCCGCGCGGTCCGTTTCAGCTTCATGCGTGCAGCTTTTTAAAAGTTAAAACTGGAGAGAGAGAGAGAGAGAGAGAGAGAGAGAGAGAGAGAGAGAGAGAGAGAGAGAGAAGAGAGAGACTGACTGTGGAGAGAGAGAGAGAGAGAGAGGGGCAAACGATTGAGATTCACTTTGAATTTTTGAAATATATGCCGACCGAAATTTAAACTAGGCATGAGTGTGATTTATACATCATTTAGTACTATTTTTTTTTTAAATATTTGGATTTAATAATTTCGAGCCGGCTAGCGAACTCTCAAGCCGAACCTAATGAAGCTTGAACTCGAGCTCATTTAGACTCGTTTAGCTCGAACATGCTGCTTAGTTGAAGTGCTTTGAACGTGTTGCTAGAGCTCGGCGCAAATCAAAAGAAGAATTGTTCCAATTTTCCACTCATCAAGATGAACTTCTTCTGCCAATGACATTTTGACATTTTCTGTGCAACAGGGATACAGTGAAGCACAACTGAAAGAGTGCTTGGAAGAGTACGCTTCATTGAATGTGTGGCAAATCCATCCAAATACCTTTGACATTCGCTTCATAGATGCCTAGCATGAGTGACTTATCCGACCATGAGAAGATGCAAACAAGTAAGAGCTGAAAATGGCATTTCTTAAGGTGTTCTAAATGTTGTCAGAAAGCCTTGCTTTTACTCTGCATGTTGTCTTAAGATTGCTATTCAAAACCAATTTTAAATTCTAGGTAGGAGACCACTGTGAGCTTTTTGCCTTTTAAAATCTAGTCTTATGTGCTCTAATTTTAAGTATATTAGGGAAGATATAATGTTTTTTGAATGTCAATGTATTCTTTGATTTTGAGCTAATTACTCCCTTTCTGTATCCCCACTCCAGTTTTTTGCCTTGTTTTCAGTGCAAATTTGATGGCTTCTATGTGTTCCTAAATCTGGTTATCCCACTCTTAAAAATTAAATGACTTGTTACAATAAATTAAAGTATCAAATATGACTTATAATTAATTATCTACTGATGCACTAACAAACACAAAGAAAGACCACAATCAGTGACTCAAGCAATGTTCAAGTAGTGTGTCCTGCTATTAAAGTGCTCAAAATGGCTTTGGATTGCCAAATAGATTGCACCGTTGCGATTAGAACGTCGAAATTATCTAAGAGAGAGCTCCTTACAGTCGAACCAAACGAAGAAGATCCCTCACACTAAATCCCTCACATCCTTCTCACAGCAACCTTCTTCACTTCTTCTTCCCAAATCCAACAGCCAAGAAGAATGGATTTGCAATGCAAATATCATGACCCGCATATATAAAAAGATAATAGGCTCTTGATGGACATACTAATTTGCCCTCAGAAGAAGAAAAAGGACTTCCAATACATATAACTAGGGGGTGATAATTTTGGGTAAGGGATTGGGTTCGGGTTGAACTCGAAACTAAATTGGTACCATTCGTGTCAACCTGAAACCGGCCCATTTTTGTAAATGGGTAGGTTTTTCGGACCCAAACCCGACCCGCTTCGGGTTCGGGTCAACCCGACACTACCCGAAAGACTTGGTGCCAACAAAAAAATTGTTAGTTTTCGGGTCCAAAAAATGGGTCAATATATGCTTTTTGGATAAAAAACGGGTCAATCTCGGGTTGCCGGGTCAAAAACGGATTTTCGAGTAAAACACGTGTCAATTTCAGGTCAAAGTGTCAACCCAAATCCTACCCGATTTTTGAAACGGGTCAAATTGTTGAACCCGAACCTGACCTGTTTCGGGTTCGAGTTAACCATAACTCAAAATTTTTTGGTCGAATTTTCGGATCGTGTCAAATATTGACACCCCAACATATAACAACTCATCTATAGGGCCATAACAAGAAACTTAAGTAACAATTAATTAAAACTAATGTAAATTATTAAAAATTCAAATAAATAAATTTTAGTTAACTTGAACTAAAATTTGATTATTAATTCAATTAAACTTGATTTAATTAAGAAGATTAATTAATTAAATATTAAACCATTAATTACAAGATCTTTCATGCTTTATGTTTGACTCTTTTTGAAGGTATATTAGCATTGAATTTAAAAGGTCCTTAATCAATTTTAAATAACAAGAAGATCCTTATGCTTCATATTCAACTCCATTTGGAAGATGCATATGCATTGGATTTTGGGGGTCTTTAATAAATTTTAAATAAATCAAAGACTTTTGTGTATTGTATTCACCTCTTTAAAGAAGGCACAATTGCATTGGATTATAAAGCATTGAATAAACTCTTAATAAATTTAAAATTTAATAAACAATCAAACATAATTAACTTAGATGATTATTGCAGGTAATTTGGGCTTACGAGGTTATTAACTTAGCTCCAAAGAGGATGAAATAAACCTTATAACCTTGGTTTAATAAAGATAGTCACTATTCAACCTAAATAATCACTAATAAATTAGTAATAAAATATTTAAAAATTATAGTTATATACCCTTGTGTTTGACTCTTTTTAGGAAGATAAAGGTGTATTACATTGAAAACTCTTAAAGATTAAAACACATAATTCTATTCTTTATGAAAGAATGGTTGAGATCGAATCGGTGTATTACAATTATGAGCTTTAGGACACGTGTTAGTGTTTTTTACACTTTGAAGCCATTAATTAAAATGATTTTTTAAAACCTAAAATAAAATAACTTAAATAAATGAATCCCTCTAAAATTTAATTAATAAAATTCTAAAATATTAAAACTTAAAGAAGATAATAAGTAAGTATATTTAAATTTATATATCATAAAAGTAGAAAATCAAGTTTATTGTGGTGGAGCCTTATCACCTTATTTTCTTGTAAATCATCATGGGTTGTATTTATACTTTCAAATAAATGAATAAAAGTTTTTTTTTTAATGCATTTGATTAATGCATCATCATTCATGATGTTAGCTATATCCACTTGCATATTATACATTTTTGATTAAATATCCTTGAATCCCTAAAATTAGAGCTATCATATCTTACATGCATTCATAAGGCGATTGATGTTTTTTATGATGTTAGCTAGTAGCTCACTCCATACAAGCATAAGCTTAGATTATACACCCCTTAGTGTCTTTTCTAATTTTTCTTCTGAAAGATTAAGTCAATCTTTAGGTTGTTTTTAAGCTCGAAATTTGTAATCAAATATTTTTACATTTTAAAAAAATCTAATCCTCACCAAAGATGAAGAAAAGAGTTTACCTCCCTCTGGATGGAAAAGAATTTAGGAACCCTACTAAGAAGAGAATAAAATAACACCCATAATCTAGAGTATTCTTAGGCCAAGATTTAAGATGTAATTAACAACGAGGGCTTGCGCCCATGAGAAATCAACGTCCACATCACATAAATCCAACTCAAGTTGATGTATCAAATAGAGAAAATCTTTGACTATTGAGTTATATAAAATTATTATCCATCAAAATGTGTAAGCGACAACCGTTATTTTTCATGGATAATCGTATGTATAATTCTATATGCTGTTCCATTGGTTTACTTGTGCAGAGTGTAAGGTCCATGATTGTTTTGTCATACGGGATAATACGATTATACCCTTTACACCCTAACCCTCGCCAGTAGTATCCTTTCGAAGACCCACATGGTGAACTTGAAGCAAATGATCTCTTTGAGAGGCTTAAGTGATGTCCCTTAAAGTATCTCTTCCTTCTTCTTGACATGCAATTCTCAAGGGTCGTAATCCTTTTACATCTATCAAGGAATGTTGAAGATGAAAAGAGTAATGATTAATCTATTTTGGTCAACATTGGAGTGAAAAATACAACATTCAAATTTTTTGAATTTTCTTTGGTCATTAACAAAAGCCCTTTGAAGAGATGACTAAAATTTCAAGGTTGATTGAAAATTGCATAAATGGAAACAAGAATATCAAGAATGTTGATCTTAAAAAGGTCTTGATAGAGTACAATACTAAAGAAGATGATTAGAAGCTAGGTTTTTGCTTTATTATTGATGGTTTGTTGCTTAATAATTAGATAAATATTGATGCGCTAGTTGAGAAGCTAGGTTTTTTTTTGCATATCTATGGGTAGGATGTCATCGATGATGCTTAACAGGCTAGTGAAGGATATGGTCCATATCGAGGGATATCCTAAAGTGGAGAAGAAAATAATAATAATAAAGCACAAGCCTTGTACATCATTAGAGGATTTGCTATCTCATTATAGGATTAGGCTTATGAAGCCATTCAAAAGCTAGGAAAGACTCTTGTTAAATTTCAAGGATATAAATGTAAATGATGGTGAGTTGAAAAAGCAATGAAGTACACATGAGCAATACTTTTTTTATCACTTAGGGCATCTCCAACCGAACGCTAAACGAGTGTATGGAGTCGTTCCGTCGCTCCAACCGAACACTAAAATTTCCGCCATTTAATCGCAGGTGAACAGTGCGACGCCAATATTGGCGTCGCACTGTTCACTCACGTCATTTTTTGCTCTCAACCGGAAAAAAAAACTACAACAAATGAACAACATGAAGCATAAACATTTGATGCTTGAGCCATTTCCTAATTCATACTAGGAATTTGATGCGACTCTATTCATACAAACAAAATTCCTAAGATTTTTATTTTTTCGAATAGAGAGTTTTGGTGGATTTTTTTTGGAGCATAATCAATAAATAGTAGAAACATTTTGTTATAACAACATCAAAGGTGAACTTAAATTTTTAAAAAGTTGTGAAAGAATAGTGACGTTATTAGTAGAGAGATTTATCTCTAGCTAAGAGTCCAATGATTGAAACACTGTTTAATCACTAATACATTAAAAAATGATAATTACTCATTCACCAGCCTAAAGAAAATCAAACGTACTAAAAAATTAATTTATGAAAATTATCTTGTGAAATGAAATATAGATCCGTTTAGAGGTGTAAACGAGTCAAGTCGAGCTTGAGTTTTGCATAACTCGGGCTCGAGTCATGCAAAACTCGGGCTTGAGTCATGCATAACTCAAACTAGACTCGCTGACCAAATCAGGAGTCCGAACTTGAGATGAGCTCGGCTCATGGTGGCAAACAATGGGCTCGCAAGCAGCTAGTGAGATGACAGCTTCACTGCAAGAGAGGAAGATGGCGTTTGCTTGAGAAAAAGACGTGTCTCTTGCATGTCTGTTGGGTGAGAAGAGGAGAAAGTTATTTCTTTTTTGTTTTTTGTTTTCCTAGGGAATCTAGATAGTTTCTGCTTTTTTCTTGAGAAAGATTAGTCTTTTAGTTATTTTTTTTTTATAGTTTCATTAATTATTTGGACATTACGGCATTAACTAATTTTGGGAATCCTTAGGGCATCTCCAACCGAACGTCAAACGAGCGTATGCCGTCCGTCCGTCGCTCCAACCGAACGCAAAAATTTCCGCCATTTTCTTGCAGGTGAACTTCACCCACGCCATTTTACTCTCTCAACCGATAAAATGCGCGAAAGGGAGAAGATCGTTAACTTCCAAAAAACACCTAAAATGGCGTTCGATTGGAGCAGCATCACGCCATTTTGGAGTTCTGCGTTATTTTGCCGTAAATTTTGGAGTTCTCCGTTGGAGATGCCCTTATAGAGGATTATTTTTTTGCAAAAGAGAAGCTTGTTTTTCTTGGTTAGATTTGGTTTGCATGTTAGGCAATGAAAGACAATAAGTTTGCTTTCATCTTTTATGTTTGAAAGAATCCCTGACTATGGTTTAGTGGATTTCGTTTATTTGATAATTTGTAGATCATTCGTGTTATAATTTCACCTTTCTGAACAAGGAAGCATTTTTTTTTTTGAGTTTTTGTTGATGTGGTAAACTTTCGCAAGGCTCAACGACGACTTCAAGAACCACTATGATAGATCACTCGCACGCCAAATGGGAAAGCAAAGTTTTACAAGATGAAAGCAAACTTACTGTCTTTCATTGCCTAACATGATCAGTGGATTGTTGGTTAATATGGTGGTGGTGGCGGCCATGAAGAGGTAGTTTAAGAATGAAAATCAAGAAAAGTAATTATCGTAATTCCCAATTAGTAAGGTTTTAAGTGTTCTTATTTTCAATGATTAGAGACTGCTTATTTTCAATGGTTAGATACTACAGTATGCTTCCTTTTGGGTCTGTTTAAAATTGCTAAGGATTAGTTATTCTAGGAGTGTTAGCTTTTACACTCTGGCCTTCTTAGTAGTTTTTATTTTACCCGATTCCTATTTATTGATGCCTAATAGTCTTACGTTTTGGCCGTCTTCTATAGGCGCACTTCTCCCTTTCAGTAATTTTCCAATTCTTTGGAGATTTACATGAAATATTAATTAGATGGGTTGAGTTTAGAGTGTAAAATCAGTAGATAATTATTGTCAATTATAAAACAGTAAAATAGATATATCAACGGCAAATATCAAATCGGTATATATACATCTTTTATGTATTATAAACCTTATAATCTCACATAAGTCATTTTTGCATTCAATCATAATTATTCATTTTTATTTAACATTTCTATTAATAATTTTGACGTTCAATTCATTTTTATAACCATTTTTATTTATACAGGAGCATCGTTTAAATGTACCAATTAAGGTACAATAATTTCCATTTATATTTCCATTTTTTTCATTTTAATGTGTATGAATACGTTGCTTCACTAGCTAGTACAATACGGGAGTGAATTCCAGTAAATTTGCATGCATATATTTTCTTTCTCCTTTTCTTATCATATGTTTTTCTTTCATTCTTATATCATTCATTTATACGTGTATATAAATATCATATATATGTAATGCTTTCTAACTTTATTTTTCTTTCCTTTATTTGTAGTTTGGTTACATATTATTTCTTTATTATATTTGTTTTTGTATACTTATTTGCTTATTTCATATGTAATAGTTTTAAAAATAAAGTATAAGTCTTAAATACTTAAATAGTATGTTTCTTTTAAAAAGAAATAGAAAACTACAATAAAGAGATATTCTATAAATATGTAGTTTAATATTTCAAATATTCGATTCTTGTCAAAACCTAAAGAGAACATAATAAGATAAATTTACATATAGCAAGTTTTATCAAAATTTTCATAAATATTTATCTAATTAATTTTTATCTCAGCTTTAATTTTCTTTCTTGTTGAATTCTTAAAGAACTCAACTCTTACACCTTCATTTTTTTTTTCTAAAATTCTTAAAATTAAACAATATAAATTTTCAAAAAAATATGATTTAATAATAAATTTAAGAAAAATTATATGATAAGAATTTTACTTACAAGAATGAAATTTTTTAAATCCCAAAATATTTTTTATTTTCTTTCTCAAAATATCTTCCCCTTCTCTTTTAAATCTCTTCCTTTTCCTTTTATGAAAATATTCTTAGCTTTAAATGAAGTAAAAAAAAAAAAAAATGAAAAAAAAAACAAATATTATTCCCTCTTTCCCTCGGTTGTTCCACTTTTTCGTTAAAATTTCTTCCAAATTATCACTTTGTTAGTGAATTGATAAATATTATCCACCCATGCAACCCTATTTGCGAAATGTTTTCTGTTACCTCAGCGCTCAACACCTCAACACTCACTCAAACCCAAGTAAATCTAAGAGCTTGGCGTCGCAGCACTTCACAGCATAGCGTCTCAAGAAAACACCTATTATCGGTCGTTCCACTTATTTGTTAAAATTTCTTCCAAATTATCACTTTGTTAGCAAGCTAAGTTTTTACTCGGAGCTTTTGTTCTTAGAGGAAGTTTTATTAGCTTTTCTTCTTTTTTGTTTTACATTTACTTGAATGATCTGCTTAAAGCACAACAACAATTAAAATGGCTTGTGTCTGATCTTGTTGCTGGGGGATACATATTCTGATTTTTTATTCCTTATTGTGTTGACACCTAAAAAGGTATTCAATGGCAAATGCTTGGATGTTTGATGAGTACAATGGTCAACTGATGTGACACCACGCGAGGTAGGTACGACATACCTTAACATTGTACAAAATCACCCGAGAAGTTGTCTATTTGCAATATCAACCTCATAGGCACATTCATTACACCAAAATTACCAAAGAGACGCCCATCGCGCTCGCCTTGGGCAAATGAAGAAAATAATGAAATATAAGCGTGACATTGCTCAAAATTGTCCGATTGACATCTGAAATGGTTAAGATAAGGCTAGTGATATATGATGATGATGGATGATAATGCAGAGGTTCCTCTTCTTTGAGTGCGTTACTCTTTAATGTCATAGGTGATTGATTCCCTTTGAATGAGTGATTCCTTAAATGTATGGGTGAGTGGCACCATAATTTTTGGTGGGGGGCCTTGATTATAATTTTTACTTTTCTTTACAGGAGAGGTGTTTGAAGGAGCATTTGGGGAGACAGGTGCTAGGTTTAAGGAGACATTAAATGGTGAATTTAAAATTGGGATTTCCCATGAGAGAAGGCTCATGATTGGAGTCTTTATTAAGAGAGGGAAATTCATGAGAGAGATGAAAACTTGGAATTTTTTATTAGGAGCGAGAATTGATGGTTAGGACAAAGGTGAGGGTAGGGGGTTGATGGATTGGGTTTGAGTATGACCTAAAATTGACACGACTTGAATCCAATCAAACCTGACTTGCTAGCAAGTCAAATGACCTAAACTCGACCCGCATATAATCAACTTGAAGCCGATTTGTTTAATAAACAAGCCAAAAATATCAACTCGAATCCAACCCGCTAGCAAACTGAATGACTTGAATCTAACCCGTAAACTAGTTTTTGTTAATTTTTTTTATAACGTATTAAATATTAAGCTTAGCTTATTTGATAATAAAAAAAAAATTATACCTACAAGTAAAAAATATTTAAGAAATAATATATTAAATATTTTATTTTCAGGTTAAAAATGACTTCGTGGGTTAACTTAAACCAAACCAATTTAATAAACAGGATGAAAAATTCAAACCATATATTTTATAATTACCCAAATTTTTCGGATCAAGTTTGATTTAAGTTGACGGATCGGATCATTTATTAACACCCCTAGGAGAGGGGAGGGGAGATGTAGAATCATGAGAATTTTGAGGATTGCTTGATTTCAGTTCGTGATAATTGAGCTAAAATATAGTCTTAATTCTATTCTCGCAAATAGAGGTTACAAATTTTAATTTTAATTATATCCGATCATGTAATTCAAATTCAAAAAGATAGCATTAAAAAAAGTTAATTATTTCCTAATTTAAATAAAAAAGCTCTAATAACAAATTAAATATTATTCTATGATCTAGTAGAAGACGAATCAGATTCCTCTACTTTCTCATCGTCTTCGACCTTCTCCTCTTTCTCCAAAATATACCCTCTTCTTCGTCTCCCTCTCCCTCTCCAATCCAAGAATAAGCCTCTCTGGGCCTTCTCTCATGTTTTTATCTTTTCCTCAAGGGAAAAAAAGCAGGGAAGAAAGAGAAGTCGACTCTGATTCTCTGGCAGTACATCTATTTTTAGGTGGGTTTTTCTTTATTCTTTATGACTGTAATTCATTCGTGTCATTCTGTCTATTTTGACATATCTTTCAATTTCTTTGCACTTGCATTACAACAAGTTTCACTTTTGTGCTTTTAAAGTGTCTATAAATTTATATTTGCTAATTCACTGGAGAATTTATAATGCAACGAAGAAATTTCAATTTGATCCATTACAAAAGACGTAGAATAAAGCAAAGAAGCAAAAGCATTTGCGTAGAACAAAAAAAACAGGAATAAATGAGTGTTGCGCAACGTTAAAGCAATTTCAAGATAACATCCCCCTAAACAATAACAAATTCTAGAATTATGGAAGGCAGCAGTAGTGCGGTCAACAAGCAAATATATATAAATGTTCGTCTAGATAGTACGCTGAACCTCCATGTACTTGTATTTTGGCTTCTGATGCAGAAATACCACTAGGAAGTTCTACGCCTGCAGGAGGAACAATACGGGGAAAGATGAGTGGTCATTTTTTCAGAACCCAAATACAAAGTATACGAATAAGACGTGCTGATGAATTTGAACCTTGTTAGCGATGTTGTTTGAGAGCCAATCCAATCCCTCGTACAAACCTTCTCCTGAGGTGGCACAGGTGCTCTGGATATACCTGATAAGCGCGGGCCAATATAATAATCAGTATCTCCAACACTCCAATTCCAAAAAGAAGAAAAAAAAAAGACGTACAAAGAACCAAACTTATCCAAGAATTAAACACATCCGAAAGGAGATTATTTTGTGCGGACACCGGACTGTCCGGAGGCGAACCAGAACACGCCATGTCACCCGGTACACAACAATACACAGCCGTGGTACACAACAAAAGGATGATGTGACATGCTCTGTTTCGACTCCATATGGCATCCGGTGTCGGCACAGAATAATTTTTCATTTGAAAGAGACAAAAGAGGGGGAAAAAAGAGAGGGAATAATACCAATGGCGTTGACGAAGAGAATGGAGGCCAAGCTTATCGGTGATCTCTGCAGCATTCATTGCATTCGGAAGGTCTTGTTTGTTTGCAAAGACAAGCAGCACTGCATCTCTCAGTTCATCCTACAAAATAAAAAAAAAGGTATATTTGTCTTAAAATATAAACGTTTTTTTTTTCTTAAGTTTATTAAACTGATTACATTGGGAACTTAATTACCTCATTAAGCATCCTGTGAAGCTCATCTCTTGCCTCAACAACACGGTCTCTGTCATTGCTGTCTACCACGAAGATGAGGCCCTGCGTGTTCTGGAAATAGTGTCTCCACAAAGGACGGATCTAATAACAAAACAAAATCGAAAAAAAAAAAAAACTTCATTTAAATTTAATGGTTAAATATTTTAACAAATATATTATTCACATTCCAGTTGACTTTTAAGCCTATAAAATCATAAAATCAATAACATTCACTCTCCCAACCGCAACAAAAAAGGTACAAGGACCATATTAGTTATAGCACACCTTGTCTTGACCACCAACATCCCAAACAGTGAAGCTGATATTCTTGTATTCCACAGTTTCCACGTTAAATCCTAAACAAGTAAAAATCATGGGTCAGATCAATATTCTGGTTAAGGATTTAACAGATTAGGAGCTCTTAGACATGAAGCAATTAACAGCATCCTTACTTTCAATAATCACACTTCTATGGATGTCAACCTGATGTAATATGTTTCATAAGTCTTGCGTAACAGATGGTTCCAGGCAGGTCTATCAATCTGGTCTACATTTATTTTTAAAATTTAAATCTATCCCATAATTTCATTAAGTGGGCTCAACGCTAGTGCAAATATGCGGTTGGAAAAAGATCAATTATGAATATTAAAATGTACATTGATATGAAAATTTTTAATATAATTGCATCTGTTAAAATTATTGTTTGAGATCTCTAAATTAGAAATCAAAGAGTACACCGCTTGAGTCAAAGTCCTTTTATAAAGAAAAAACTGATCTAGTTAATATTATTGTCTGATCCATATCCAATTTAGGCTGTTGGGTTCAAATAACTAGCATTGGTATCAAGAGATGACCATCTAGGGCGACTCTCTCTAATCGTATATGCCGCTGGAGCTACTCCAACCTTTTCATGTATATACTCATTTTGCATTGTCTTTAAGAGTGAAGCCACACATTCACCTGAGCATCCTCATCTCTGCAACACTACACTTAAATTTATGCTTCTCTTTTGCTGGCTAACATTCTGCGCCATAAAGCATTGCAGGCATCACCACAATCTTATAGAATTTTCCCTTAAGTTTAAAGGGTACTTTTTTGTCACACAATAAGCCCGACGCATTCCTCCACTTCAACCATCCAACTTTAATTCTACTAATAATATCCCAATCTATTTCACCATCACTTTGAGCCATATATTTGTGAAATCTAAAATATGTACTACTCTTTTTAATAACTTGATCGTCCAAAGTCACAATCACCCCATTGGATCTATTACTACTAAAATCAAATTCTCAATGTATTCGATTTTAGATCTACTCAAACGAAAACCTTTACTAAGGTAGAAATCCATATTTCAAGTTTTCCTTCAACTCCCTCTCTAATCCTATCGATAAGAAAAATATCATTAGCAAAAATCATACACCAGAGTACATCCTCTTGCAAATTTTATAGTAAGAACATCCAAGACTAAAGCAAAAAAAGTTAGGGCTTTTGATCCTTGATGTGATCAAACTGAAATAGAAAAATACTTGATCAAACTAACTTGTGTTTGAACACAGATAACTCATGGATACATATCCTTAATGAATTGAATAGAAGCATTATTAAATTATTTCTTTTCTAGAACTCTCTAGAGCACTTCTCTTGAAACTTTATTCTATGCTTCTCAGAAGAAGATGATTTCCTCCAAAATTACACAATCGCACTTGTTCCACAATCCAAGGAAATTTTCATCCAATTTATACACCCGCAATTGAAAACTATAATCTAAACTTTTATTAAATAAAAAACTTTGATCACATGCCTCAATAATCCATTTATAGTTGGCATAACAACAGTTTAGTTCATTTCCATTAAAATCCAAGACTCAGATCTTAATTGCAAAGAGAACTTTATGCACTTATTCCAAATAGTAAAGCCACATTCAATTCTAGGTTTTATAGAGACAACAAAGCTTCATCTTCTCGACCCATTTATCCAAAATAACAGCCTTTAGAAGCAAAAATAATAATTATCATAAATAAAACCGCACATGTTAGATAATCTCGCCAAAACTCATATGCCAATGAAGTCCATCTATGAAAAGTTTCGCATGTGTAACCACTAGTCAAAATATATCTCTTTACGTTTGGGTAAATCAAATACCATGTACAGAAGAACCAAGGCAATAAATCAGAACTTGAACAACAGCATTCAAACTTTAGAATAATTAAGAATCGAACCAGCCTGATCCCACACCAAACCAAACAAATCAACTTAATACTACAGAATCAAATTAATAGAGAACACAATTTGTTCTCATAAGCCATCATCATAAACATGCCCCAATAACTAACAAAAAAAAACAACCAATTAACTGCCAAATGATAAAATTAAATTAATTTTTCTCGGAGCATTTATTTACTTCCATAACGTTTTCGCTGAGTATAGACTTAAAGCTATCCATCACCTTTTATCAAAATTTTTAACTTTTCATCGGCTAGATATCTTGGCTCACTATGACCTTTGACTATGTATGTTCTTTAGTCAAATAACTTTATAAAGCACATCACCCATCCATCCATATTTCCCAAGTTTCACCGATTTACTTTGGTCCCAGTTCATATGCCATCAATATTGCTTTAAACTAGTCATTTTTAAAACCATAATTTGTTTTATTAAGAGCTGTTAACGTCAAATGAACTCCAACAACACGTGTTCTTATTTAGGATCCAAGTTCAAGAAGTTTCGGTAATCTTCCTTCAGGGAAAATGCATGAAGTGATCACTAGGCGACAGTAATGAAAATCAGTAAGCTTTTACTCTTATGCTCCAAGCTAACTATGATCCTTTACTACATACATGGATTAATCAAATATTCTTTGGAGTTCATAACATATCTATGTAGATATTTCACATTTGTCAGAAGTACATTGATACAGAAGCGCACTACCAGATACAATGCAGCCACCCACCTATTTTGATTACGCAAATGCATAACCCACAATTACTCTGTTCCTTTCTGCTCAACTCCTCAATCATTATGTTCATTTCTCTAGTTAATTATGTCATTTTTTTCAAAAAGAACTTTGCAGCTGTCGTCTTGTTAGCAGAGTTTGCTACAAAACTGCTAAGGGGCGATTATGAGGGCTATGCAACACTGGAAACATAATCTCACAAAATGAGTTTATTTTGAATAGAAATTATCAACTCTCAAATATATGAACTCCAAAAATAAAAAATTTCGCTCGTATGCAAGCCTGATAGATTATCTTTCTTAAAAAATTCACCTGATCTTCAAAGACCATGTAGGTCATTTGAAATAAGTGACGGGCACCTTGAGCAGGTGCCACGCTCCTTTTTAACATTGAGGCTGACCTCGTGGGGTTTGAAGCTCTAAAGGAATTATATGTTGACAATGAAAACTTCAACTGCATATGGTCAAAGTGTCTAAGGCACAAATACTGAAGCTTTTCATATAAAACAAGGTTTTTAATTAAAAGTAAATCATTTAAACATTTCTATGACATCAATGTGGAAAATCATATATTGGGGTGTGCTAAGACCAAAACAATTACATAAAATTACTTCTACTGCCCTTGAATGCAGAGTGACATATGAGCAAAAGCTACAGATAATTACGAGGGTGCAACACTGGAAACATTATCACATACAAGAGGAGTTTATTTTGAATAGCAATCATCAAGTTCTCAAATATATGAACTCCAATACAACGCAAGTCAATTGAAATAAGCGACTGGCACCTTGAGCAGGTGAGCCACACTCCTTTTCAACATTGAGGCCAAAGTTACAAACTCATAGGGTTTGATGCGCTAAAAGAATTATATGTCAACAATGCAGACTTCAATGGGATATGGTCGAAGTGTCTTAAGCACAAATACTAATGCTTTTCGTATACAACAAGGTTTTTAATTCAAAGTAAAACATTTATACATTCCTAAGATATCAATTTGTCAAATCATAATATGCGATTTAGATTAAGATGTGCCTAGCATCATCACAAATGGGGCGTGATACGACCAAAATAGATAAATAAAATCATTTATATTCCCCTTGAATGCAGAGTGACATAGCCTACTTGATGCAGGCAAGGCTTGATAATTTTATATTTTCTTTTGCTTCCTTGTTGGCAATATGGGTTATTTAATTTCGGATGGTTGTTGGAGTCATCTAGGCAATTTTGAAGAGTGTTCCCTAGGCAATATTTTGATTACCTTTGTTGGCTTTTGGTTTCTCAAGGATTTCGATTGGTTGTTCATGTTCTCGATGCAAATTTTGTTGGCTGTTCATGTTCTCCATGCAGATTTTGTAGGATGTTCATGTTCTCCATGCAGTTTTGTTTCTCTATGCTGGCTGTTTTTCCCAAGGTGCTACCCCTTTTTTTTCTACTGTTGTTTTCTCATTCTAGGTACATTAACTCCTCATTAAATGTGCTAACTTGTGAGACTTCTATTGGTTACTTTGGATGGCACATTTATGTGGTTGTTGGGTCATTTTCCTCCTATATAAGAAACTGTTTTTTCTGCAAAAAGAAGAGAGATATGCGATGATTTTTGGAATGTAAAACCCGCGGGTTTGTTCTAGCTTGCAAGATAGCCTCCTTTCCCCTTCTCTATTATTTTCCTCTCAGTTTTGTACCTTTTATTCTCTATCCATAGTTCCCACACCATGTGTATCTTTCTTCTCTTAATTAATATAAGTTGTAAGGTGTTTTGTTATTGTATTGTTATATTATATGTGTTTGTCTATTTTTATGGTAAGGAAGACTCTTAATTTGCAATCATACAACAACAACAACATCATCAAGCATTTGTCCCACTACGTGAGGTCGGCTACATGAATCCTTTTTCGCCATTGTGCCCTGTTAAAAGTCAAATTCTCATTTAAATCTAATAAAAAAAGGATCATTTTTAATATTTTCTAACCAAGTCTTTTTAGGTCTACATCTACTTTTCTTAACATAATTCAAATCTAATACCTCAACTTTCATAATCGGGTCATCAGAAGGCCTCTGTTTAATGTGACCAAACCATCTAAGGCGACTCTCTCTAATCTTAGCTTCCACTGGAGCTACTCCAACATTTTCACGTATATGCTCATTTCGTATCCTATCTCAAGGGTAAAGCCACTCATCCACCTAAGCATCCTCATCTCTGCAACACTTAACTTAGTATTATGCTTCTCTTTAAACGGCCAACATTCAGCACCATAAAGCATTGCACGTCTCACCACCATCTTATAGAATTTTCCCTTAAGTTTGAGGAAGACTTTTCTATCGCACAACAAAGCCCGATGCATTCCTCCACTTCAACCAACCAACTTGAATTCTGCTAATAATATCCCCATCTATTTCAACATCACTTTGAACAATAGATCCAAGATATATAAAATGTATACTCTTATTAATAACTTGATCGCCCAAAGTCACAATCCCCTCACTAGGTCTATTGCTACTAAAATTACACTCCCTATATTCAATTTTAGATCTACTCAAGTGAAAGCCTTTAGACTCTAAGGTTGACCTCCATAATTCAAGTTAACCTTCAACTCCCTCTCTAGTCTTATCAACAAGAAGAATATCATCAACAAAAATGATACACCAAGGTACATCCTCTTGCAAATATCTTTCTTTCTTTAAAATTACACTCCATATATTCACATACCAGGTACATACTCTTACTTTGCAATCATAATGTAATTTTTTAGGTTGCACCAATTTGGTATCAGAGAATTAGGTTGTCGGATGAGCCTTTCTTTCTCTTTAAAAATTAAACAAAAAGAAAGTCAAAACAGTCATCGGGCCTAAGTTCCAATTCAAGAGGAAGATCTATAATCGAAAATGCCGCATCTTCAAAATTTTGAGACGATGTCATCACGAGTTGAGAATTCTCCACCATGGGAGAATTGATGTAGTCAAAACTTGATAATTTTATATTTTCTTTTGCTTCGTTGTTGGCAATATGGGTATTTAATTTCGAATGGCTGTTCGAGTCCTCTAGGCAATTTTGAAGTGTTCCATAGGCAATATTTGGATTCACTATGTTGGCTTTTTAGTTTCTCAAGGATTTCGATTGGCTGTTCATGTTCTCTATGTAGATTTTGTTGGCTATTCATGTTCTCCATGCAGATTTTGTTGTTGTTCATGTTCTTCATGCAGTTTTTTTACTATGCTGGCTATTTTTCCAAGGTGCTGCCCCCCTTTTTTCCTGTTGTTGTTTTCCTATTCTAGGTGCATTAACTCATTAAATGAGCTAACTGTGAGGCTTCTATTGGTTACTTTGGATGGCACATTTATGTGGTTGTTGGATCATTTTTCTATATAAGGAGTTGTTTTTTCTACAAAAAGAAGAGAGACATGTGATGATCTTTGGAATATAAAACTTGCGGGTTTGTTTTAGCTTGCGAGCTAGCCTCCTTTTCTCTTCCCCTCTACTATTTCGTCTCGACTTTCTACCTCTTCTTCTCTATCCACGATTCCTGCCCAATCTGTATCTTTATTATCTTAATTAATATAAGTTGTAAGGTGTTGTGTTATATTATTGTTATATTATATATGTTTTTGTCTATGTTTATGATAAGGAAGGCCCTTAGTTTGCAATACTAATGTAATTTTTTTTATTGCACCACTACTTCATGCTAATATGCAGAATATGTCGAACAACAAAGCACAAGATCAAAATACTGATCTTTATACTCCATTGCCTCTAACAAGTAATATATTCGGAGAAATTAGCATGAATATTATATTAGGGTTAAAGATAGCACAATGAATGAAAGTTCGTTTTGTCATTGTTAACCAGTTCTCAAAATTGACTTTTTCATACCAAGTTGGAAGATAGCCGACGACATAAATATGGTACATTATCTCCTTCAAGAGTTTGCTTGATGCATGAGATACCCAAAGGCCATCAACTCTAATCACAACGTTAAGTTTGGAGTCACTTATGGCAAGTATTGTAGAAGAAATTTATGACACTTAGCAGAGCATACTGCCCCTAAACGAGTCAGCCATACTTTAGGTACCATGAATATAGCATCATAGGGGCAGGCTGAAACAAACATATGGGATCAAGCATTGGCTCAAGTTAAATTCACCTTCAATAATATTATCACTGATTAACAGAAACGGTTGCAGTTCTCCATTCCTACACCAAGATACCAAACTTTGTAGTTGATTTGGTCAAGTTACCACTTACCATAAAGTCAGCACATGGAAACGCATAACAATTATCTCAGCAAGTAAAATAACCCCATCAAAAAAGCGAGGAAAAGACTTTAATCCAATGAATGATGCAAAATGGTAACTGAATTCATCTCAGCAAATACAGATATCCTTCTAGTACATATCACAAACTTCAAGCTAAAAAAATTGGTCCATTCGCAACAAGGAAGAATATTGACGACAATGCATATATTATATACTTGCTTCACCATTTATGATCTCCAAGACTTTCAATGTTTGAGACATCATTTAGTATCATCCATTCAAGCTGGCCATATTTGTTGAATTTAACTCAGAGTTGTGTTCTTCAAATGATAGGGGAGATGATGCAACAACCCAGTACCCAATAAAATTTTGCAGCCGACCTATTTTCCAACCTATTTTAATTATGCAAAATCTTAATGCTTTATCATCGTATTCCTTTCTCTAGTTCGTTATTTAATTTAGTTTGGTAAGTTCATCCTCAAAAAGAACTTTCCAGACATCCTTTTGTCTAGCAGAGTTTGTTACAAAACTGCTAAGGGGTAGAGCAGGGATTACACTGTTATTTGCTAATTTTCAATTTTCCAAAAGGGATAGTAAAGTTTTCTCTTCTTCTGCTTCATTAAAGAATGCAGTTTCCCATTCTCATCCTAACAACACTTTTGACTTTCCCCGGCTTCAGTTATCTTTGACCCATATTCAAGAAGCAATCAACAGTCTTAATTTAGATCAATGCAAAATCATAGGTTGTTCCTATTACGAACTAGTAAGTTTCAAATAAATTCCAGAAACTCAACTAACATTGGATCACATTTTGGTTATTCATTGGCTAGGGAATTTATAATATTGCTTCTGGCAATATAGGCCAACTAAAGAATTATGGCGACAACAGGACAAATACTAGGATTGCATCAACCTTGATAAGTCTATTATCTCAAACTGTACTTTTTCCCACCATTGAAATGCTTTTCTATATTTTTCTTTCTTTTCCACTACACCGCCACAAATAACAACAGCATGCCGACAAAGCTAGATGAATTTTAAAATTTTCCATTTGTAAAAGTTTTTTATAACCCAAAAAACTAAAAAACTTAAAATCAAATATAAAATATAAAACAACCTTACTAATAGAAATTAAGGTTGTGAAAGATCCAAGGTCAAAACACCCTAATAGATCAAACACTAAGACATGATTGAAGTCGGCATGATCCAAAATATATCTAATAAATAATGTAAACTTGGGAAAATCTAACAATGGTTCAAGATCCGATTAAAACATGTAAAATCAACCAAAGCTAGGTCTAGCTACTAAAGCTTTTGAATCAATCTCAATTCAATCCAAGATTGGCTCATTAATTTTTCATTTTCAAGCTCAGTAGAAGCCATGAATGATTCATTTCAGTAAAGTTTCTACCTGTTGAGTCAATTGCAGACCATAGAAGCGTGTGAATGCGTGCATACAAACATGCTACAAGAATGTGGAAGTCATGGACATGTAAATTTATACAACCATATATATATATATATATATATATATATATATATATGAGCTCAACCAGATAAAGGGCCATCCCAATTTAAGGATAATAGATGGTTGGCCCATCTCAGTAGGTTGTTCAAACAAAAATGCAATCCAAGTTCAAAACTGATGTATTATTTGAGCATTCATAGAGTGAATTTCGTATACCCGACAGGAACATATCAAAAACAAGACTTACCAATGGTTGGGATGGTTGTCACAATCTCTCCAAGCTTCAGTTTATACAAAATGGTGGTCTTACCAGCAGCATCAAGACCAACCATAAGAATACGCATCTCCTTCTTGGCAAAAAGCCGACTAAAGAGTTTGGTGAAAGACAGCCCCATCTTCACAACTGCAAAAAATTAACACTAAGTTAACACAATTATTAACGTGATAGTCACGCAAATAAAGCAATATCAATTAAAGAATCTTCCTTAACACAGCCTACAAATAATATTCCTAATAGATCAAAAGAACCTAATACTAAAAAAGAGAAATTCATCATTAAAAAAAGGGACACCAAAATTTAATCAGAAATGAGCACATTATGAAATCTAATTTGCCAGACATAAGTGATACCAGCAGCATCCATATCCAAAAACAGAAATCCACACTAACTTTACACAATTTACAATTAACAGACAAACATTTGGAAACATCAGGTAATCACAAGTAATAAATAGTTGATTCCACAATACCTTATCAGAACAAGAAGCAACAAAAATCTTAGACAGGATAAGCATAGCTTCTCACCAAAATGTTACGAACATGAATCAGAAAACAAGCACATGATGGAGTTTTGAGTGCCCTAAATATTCGTCAAAGAAATATATAAAGGAAAAAAGAAATGGAACCACCTATACAATTGATCCAGAACTCATAAAAAAAAACTATGATGTGAATCTAAAACCACGATCAATCAAAATCAAATCACAGCGTAAAAGAAATGGAATGGGCCGGCGGAGAAACACAAACATTAAATTAATGGGCCAAACATAAACAAAGCACGCGACACCCATCTCAAGCAAGAGAAATTCATACCAACCAATACTGGATTCTCATTTTGCATGTTCACGATGAATTTACCAGAACAAACAACCACCAAAAACTCTAAAAAGAAATGCATCATTTATCATTAAAAAAAACTTACAAACATTTATTAGAAAAAAAAAAAGAACAAATCCCTAAATTCCCTTGACATGATAATAAAAAGAAAAAAAGAAACACAGTAAATTCAGCCAAATATTTCAATGAATCCAGTTAAACAAAGGATCCATAACTTATGAAGCCAATCTCCGCCCCCAATCAATAAAAAACAAATCACATAACTGAAAGGCTGGAGATCCACAAACGCAAAATCAATGCACCGGATACAAGTGATACAAGCAGAATCCAAATCCAAAAACATATATCCATACCAAGTTTGACAGAAAATGCATGCAAAAGATCCTCGCTACCACAAAAATAAAGAATTCTAATTGACAATACTCACGACAAACATATCAGAAGAATCGGAAGCCAAAAATCATAAAATTAAATACATCATTAATCATAAAATTGTCGAGATCAATAATCAGAAAACGAGCACATGTTTCAGCTTTTCCAGTTCTAAATTCTCCTGAAAATGAAAATAGATAAATCCAAAGTCAAATCACATGCTGAAAGGCCCAACGGACCCTCTTGACCAACGGATCCACAATTAATAAGAAAAAAACGATGTAAATCCCCAGACCAGTCAACCAAAAGTCAAATAACAGTACAAAACAAACGGCAAAAACAAAGATCTACCCCCGTAAATCACCCCTCCCTCATTTAAAGGCAAATTCAGTGCATGATTCCAATAATCAAAACAAAAATACCAAAAAAACTCTACAATCAGATCAGATCAAGACATGAGTCGATGCAAGACATCGAAACCCTATTCCAATATAAAGCGAAAAAAATCAAAGAAACCGAACAACAATTTTGCAAGATCCATGGATTCAGATATGGAGATTAGGCGCTTACGAGAGGAACAGAGACAGCGCTTGTAGGATCCGAGCGGCGAGAAGATCTACGCGGAACCGTCGACCACCAGATCCCGCAGAAATGAAGCCTATCCCCCATTTAAATAGTTGGAAAACAGCACATAACGGACGTCTTCGTGCCGTCCACCTGCGCGAAGATAGCGACGACCGTCTGATTGTCCGTTAGTTATTCATCTGACAGCTTTGACAACGAAATTACGGGTTCGGTGCCTCGCGGACTCGATATGACGACTGATAAATATTATTATATATTTAATCGCTAAAAAAAATCAAGAAATATATGTTTTTTTTTTGGAGATTTACATACATACCACTTAATACTATTCTATTTACATATTTAACATCTAAAACTTTAATATTACATACACACCACCCATAGTTCATTTTCATACCAAATATGAGTGGTAGAAATGAAATATATTAGTAGGAAAGAAATATAAGTGATATATTTGATATTAACATAATATAGGATGGTATGCATGTAATATTAAACTTGTAAGTGTTAGATATGTAAATAGGATGTTATAAAGTGGTATGTTTGTAAATTTCCCTTTTTTTGGCTTTGTGGGAGATTTGCTATGTTTGTTTGGGTGGTGTGAAGATCGGACAACCAAAATCATTTAAATTTGTTGTGTGTTTATAGATACTTAGTAAAAGAGTAATAAAAGTGCAATTATAAATGCATATTTGCTAGTATTTTGCTGAGTATTTACAAAAATCATATATCAAGAGATGTTTGGATGTTAGTCAAGTTGTTAACTTATAGGAAGGGAGACCAACAACTTGGGAAGTGGGTATTGATGATAGACATCAGCTTTGGCGGTTATGACACAACAAGAAATTTTTATTGGTGAAGGCATACATTAATGATTTTGAAAGTACTATTAATTTTTTCAAGTGATTTCTTTTGACATTCTATTTAATAGAGCATTGTAAAATAATATTTTGATTTTTGAAGAATGTTAATATTTTTTAATAAATTATTAAATTCTATATATCATATTATATTAGTTGTCTTCTAAAAAAATATATGATAATCCTATTTCACTTTAAATTTTTAGGTAATAATTTTATAAAAATAACATTATAACATTTTAAAAAGCTTATTCTACAATAAATAATAATGGGCTTTTATTAATGTTATGAGCTTTTATTTCTATACATGGATGGGTTAGTAAGCGCACATACCCCGAAGGCCCCTCCTGTAGATCAGCCACTACTTGGCAGCGATGTTAGGCATTGATGATGGTGGAAATGACATGTGTTGATAGTGTTGATGTATGTTGGTCTTAGTGTTGATGGTAAGCATCAACATTGACAGATGGCAATCTCATTAGTGATTGTGGACATTGGCATTGGTGTTGATGGCATGCGTCAATCTTTCAGTGATGATATGTGTCGACCATTTTAGTGACAATGTGTTAATGATAATGGAGATGGAGGTGTCAACCTTATTAGTGATAATGAGAAACAACTTTATTGACAACACCGAGTATTTAGTATCAGTTTTTTAAGTAACGGTTATAATTTCTATATTATCTCATGGGTTAAATATTTATAATAGAAAATTATATCAATTATTGTTGTAGTATATTTTCGTTATTGATGATATTCTCTTTTATTGTTATGTTCTATTGCATATATCTTGGAAAGCTTGTATTAGCATCATAATAAAATAAAATAAATGTGTATCCCTTTTTGTGCTTTATATCATGATATCACAACCTTGGTCCAATGCTTGTCTTTGTTCTCATATATTTTGAATCATTTATATGACATGCACTACGTCGACAACCAATCTATTTTCTTTATTCACCAACCATATCAATCCAGCTAGATAAAGTCATCTATTTCTTATGGTTATCCACTCATCTCTCTTTGATCACTGTCATCTACAATGTGATGCTAACGTACACTATCAACAATGGACCAAATTAACCTTGACTCTTCAAATATGATGTCACCATTCTCCATTTGCGTGCTCCATATTGTCCTCCTTGTCTCTAGTTTCTCCCCATAGCCATCTTTAACAAATTCTTCCTCTTCTCTAGTTTGCCTCTAATCTCCCTCTAATCCCTCAATAAAACAAGAATCTCATCCCCCCCACCCCCCCATTGTGCTACAAACTTCATGGCCTTCATTGCCACCATTTCCTTACTCCTTGTAATCCTCTATTTCTACATCTTTACATGTTTCTTCAAAGCTTACATGCACTTCTTCGCCTTCCTTGCCCTAACCTCCATGGATGGCCGATCCTCCCTTCCTTACTCTACCATCTCTCCTATCCTCTCAACACCCTATAAAAATTCCTCCTCTCACTGAATTCTTTTATCATTAATGCCCTCTTCTTTGCCTCCTAACTTGCCATCCCTATCGTTATACACCAATCTTACATGGTTTCCATTGCCATAATCATCATTGTTTGGTTCATCGATCATGATCATGGAGTTGACCACTTAGAACCTTCACCATGCTTTTGCTTCAACTATGATCTCATCGATCTCATGCTTCTCCATTTGTTGCCTCAAGAAAATTACCAACTATCAGCCACTCCATGATTACTGATTTCTAATTCTTTTTCCAAAATAGTTGACATATGGTGCCTTTAGTTTGAAGGTGAACTTATCATATTTTTTTGTCACATGAATTAAATATTTATAATATGAATCTATGATAGTTGTTATTGTTAAATATCTTCATTATTGAGAATATTCTCTTTTATTGCTATCTTTTTCATAGATATATAGGCAAGCTTTTTCTACCATAATCAATTTATACATTTGTAGTCTTTTTATGATTTCTAACAACAACAAATGGCGGTGGCCTTATTAACAACGACAAATTTTGATATCTTTGTCAATGGTGGGTGTTGGCACAATTCTCGAAGATGAGCATTGTTGTTGTCAATGACAAGTTTTAATCTTATTGGTGATAGCAAACATCGACGTTGGTGATAAAAATAGTTGTTAGTGTTAGTATTAATGACAAGCATTAAACATGTTGAAAACTATGGATGTCGACATTAGTGTCAACGATAGGCATTTATTTTGTCGGGTGCTAACAAAGCTCTAGATGCCCTTTTCTAGAATCCATCTTAGGGTTCCTTCGGGTCTCATTGATTGTGTAGAAGTATGTCATATTTATATATTTTTTATGGAGCATTATAGTCACGTACATAGACCAATTGATCCCTTCTAACCATATAATATTTCTTAGAATCTTAGTATCTTAATGATACTAGGATTGAGTGATGTTGGGCTTAGATTCATCTTGTTGAAATACCCATTTTGATCACAAGCACTCAAAACTCTGAGATCATTTGATTGTTCAAATGGTCATGGTGAAATTCCAATTATACTTACGAGTCATTGATTTAGGTTAAGTCCAACTCATATCAAGATGATTTTGATATTGCCGAGTTTGATCTCATCAAGATACTTAGCATGAGCATTGACTATTCAAACAACAACAACATCAAGTCCTTATCCCACTATGTGGGATTGGTTATATGAATCTTTTTTCTCCATCGTGTTATGTTAAGAGTCACATACTCATTTAAATCTAATAAAGAAAAGTCTTTTCTAATATTTTCTAGCTAAATCTTTTTAGGTCTACCTCTACCATTCTTAATATAAGTTAAATCTAATACATCTATTCTCCTAACATGGTCATCAGAAGGTCGACGTTTAATGTAACTAGCTCGTTTAAGACGACTCTCTCTAATCTTATCTACTAAATGGAGCTACTACAACCTTTGCATGTATATACTCGTTTCACATTTTGTCTATAAGAGTGAAGCCACTCCTCCACATTAGCATCCTCATCTCTACAACACTTATCTTAATTTTATGCTTCTCTTTTAATGGCCAACATTCTGCACCATAAAACATTACAAGCCTCACTATCATCTTACAAAATTTTCCTTTAAATTTGAGGGATGATTTTCTATCACACAACAAGCCCAAGATATTCCTCCACTCCAGTCATCCAACTTAACTTCTACTAATAATATCCTCATCTATTTCACCGTCACTTCGAAGAATAGGCCCAAAATATTTAAAACTTATACACTTATTAATAAGTTTCTTGCTCTCTCGTTGTTATTAACAAACAGGAATACAAATCTTTCTCCTTCCTTGACTAGTAACCTTAATCAATGGTTTGCAGCAGTTAATTTTATTCATGTTAGTTCAAGATGTGCCTCAGTGTCATTTCTGTTGAAAAGGCTGGTGATGTTGAAGTCAACTTTCACACGATCCAAATGAGATAGGGATTATTACATGCGGAGTCCAAATATTCGGATTATGTGAGAATACACAGTAAATACACAACAAATATATAATTTTATTTTTTGCTGTGTATTTATTCCGTACTCTCACAGGATCAGAACGGTTCTGCTGCCCGGACTCTGCACATAATAATTTCTCCCAAATGAGAGATATTACCCATTTAGCAACTGCCACAAATAAAAGGTTCTTTCCTCAGCCTGGAAACAGCTGCAAGGGTTTTTACCACTGAGATAGAACTGCTGATTGCAAGAGACTGAATTCCTTGGCAAACTTGGCTTTGTTCACTGCCCTGCAGATTTGAAACTCTTCTATTGGTTATTTCACCCAGACAAAAGCCTGTCATTCATTTTGTTTAAAAAAGAGATTCTCTCATCACTATTACTTAAGACTCAGGTTTCGTTTAGTTTAACCTTTAAGTAAAAATCAGATCAACAAATGCAAGCATATTCTGCAGCAGGTCCAGATCATCTCCTGTAAATAAAAAAAATATAAAACTGTGTAGAAGAAGCAGCAAATAAATTACAAGGAGAAAGTGAATATCACACTAAAAAAAAGAAGAAAAAAAAAAGAAAAAAAGAAAAGCTCTCCACCTAAAATCTATACATCATTTGAAACTCAGAACAATCAAATCTTAAAATGAGATCAACTCATAAACACTCTACAGGTTCAGACTCCTCAAGCATGGAAGCTGCCAAGAAGCAATCAGCAGCATCTGCGTACCTTCCATCTTCTTTGTGCACCATTCCCAAATAATACCAGGCTTGCCGATTTGCCGGTTCAAGCCGGAGAGCATCCGATAGAAAGCTTCTGGCTATGGCTAATGGCTTCGATCCGCTCCGCCATAGAAGAGCACCAAGAGACACCTTACTAGCCACATGATCAGGATCCAGAAAGAGAGCACTGCTGTAAGATGACAGTGCTGCTTGAGTCTCTGACCGAGCTTCTTGCATGGAACCTGCATATTTCAAATAAGAAGTTATAAGATGATTATCTTACTTATTCCTGAAGTTTCTAACGTTAATTACATTAGCTTTTCGTTTATGCAAAACAATTGGGATGGTGAGGGTTTTGCCAGGACAAGAAGAGTGTCATAGGTATAACCGAGGCTTCATTTAGGATGACTTTTTTGTTGCTTCTTAAAGCAGCTTTTTAGTAAAATTTTTTTAATTTTTTAACTAAAAAGCTGCTTTAAAAGCAACAAAAAAGCCGTCCCGTATGAAGCTTGAATTTATTTCAATTGCTAGGAATGCTAATGAGCCTCCTTTTCTAGGCTCTCCTCAACCAAAAGGAGATGGCAAAACCTGGGTTGATCTAACTTGATCTTTAAGCTGATGAAACATCAACCTTTCCACGAAGTTGAGACAGTTCAGTGAAGAGTTTATATAAAGAATGATTTGCAACTTGTTCAAAGCTTCTTTGGTAGTCTAAAATGATAGAGGCCACAGTAGACTTCGGCAAGCTCTTGAAAAATATTCTAAGATTTCAAAGATTTAGATCATACTCTTAAGGTTACTGAGTGAGACGCAAGACATTTTTTGTTTCCTCTCTTGCTAGCTAAAATGCTAAAGTGCTTAGCAAGCTCGAAACGCCTCGACATTATGTGACCTTGCCCGAATGTTTCCTCTTAATAAAACCTGCTCTGATACAATTAGGACGTCAAATTTATCAAAGAAGCACCTTTTGTGTGTGCACTTGAAATCGAGCGCCCATTCCTACCTATTCTTTGTACCCCAAGCTGCAAGAATCCTTCTCCTTCATCGCATCCGAAACCTTCAACAAACCTTCTCCTCTTCTCATTGCTGCACAAAGGCCACCTCTTCACTATAGCTCCCACTTACCTAGCTGAATCTCATACCACCGATGAGACTTGCATGTCCGCCTCCCTTCAATTGCCTTAGCCAACATCAACAAGCCCCAATAGTCTTCTTTCTCTTGCGCAACCCCTTAGGCTCGCAACCCAGCCTCATCTCTAGCCACTGGCCTTCCACCCTAGCAACCATCCCTCACCTTAGTAATCGTCCCCTACTCGACCTCTAACCAACCCTTCTCCTCCTCTACCATTGACAACCTTAGCTACGCAAAAAACCACCAACCAGCCTCTCTCAAATCTCTCTTTCTCTTCTCTATAAATCTCTTTCTCCCCCTCTCTCTATCACTCCCTTTACGTCTCCTCCATCGCTCACTTTGTCTCCTATTTCTCTCTCTAAGTTTACTATCTCGTCACTTCTCTCTCTAAATAGAGAGAATTTCTCTCACTTTCTCTCTCTAACACTCTTCCTCTACATCTCTCATTTTTCTCTCTAAAAAGAAAAAGAAAAAGAAAAAAATCAGAAAAAAGAGAATAATAAAAAAAGATAGATTAAAAAAAAAAAAAGTTTTCAAATCACAATCTTGTTGTTGTCACTCGCTTTGTGCAAAGGTATAATTCCAAAATCTCAAAATTAAGTACCCTACGTGTTGTTACAATGCTTAGCGCAAAGTTATAACTCCAAAATCACAAAATTAAATATCTGTGCGCATTGTTCCAATGTAGCGGATAAATTTGTGAAACTAAACAATTGTGTGCATTTTTCTAATGCAAAGAGGAAATTTATTTTTTTGCTCATGCAAGTGAAGAAAACACCGGGTGCTTTTTTAAGTGCATTGGGAAGAAGATCCCGGCCACAGTGTCGTATGATATCGACCATCTCGCTTCTTATAAGTGTGGTGGGTAGATCTAGCACTCCCCCTACACAAGTGAGCCTCTAGAATGTTGTTGAAATCTTTTCTAAACATCATTTAATTCAATGAACTAAAATGACCTACTTAAGTAAAATGCAATAAAACAAAAATTTAAATGTATGCCGAAAAAGAAAAATGAAACACCCAAAAAAATATTGAACACATTCAGGGGAGTTCTCGCTTACGAGTGATAACTATATAAAATAGAAATTTTTACAAAGATGAAAAACATAAAAAGATTCCAATTCGCCTTTAATGCCACTAGATTTGAATACAGACACGTAAGCGATCATAAGGCGGAAGGTGACTACTTATAAAATTTTAAAAACAAAGCCTTGCTCGTATTTCGATGATAAATGTTGGTGAAATATAATCAAATTTAAATATTTTAGAAATTTGAACGCATCGAAATGCAACTTATAAATTCAAGTGTGGCGCCCTGAGAAGCATGTTGTTATGCCGGTCCAGCATGGACCGGCTCAACCTGGACCGGCCCAGCCGGTCCGGGTTTTCTCCAGGCGGAGACGGGGCAGGGATTAGGCGGAAGTTTCAAGGGGGGCTGGGGTGGGGTCCACTTGAAATTCAAACATGGTTTAAGTGTTTTTGGAGGGAGAAGGAAGGGTAGAGAAGTCCTTTTGCTTTTATTTTGTATTAGATTGTTTTAATAGGGAGTTATGAGGGGAATTAGGGTATCATCTTGTTTTTGAAAAGAGTTTGGTGTTCTAGGGTTTCTTGCTTGGGCTCTTGGCGTTGCCGGAGATTGTTGGAGAGTTGTTCTTCCTCTCGAATTGAAGAACATTGTATCTTGCTTTGGTTTTGTTTGTCTACTAGTGGAATACAATCGTTTCTATTGTTTTCCAAGAATTTCTCCCTATTTTTCTACTGTTTTTGGTTGTTTTACTGTTGTGGACAGCAGTTTTCATCTTGGATCTTTTTGTTTTTGGTGAGAGACACTTGGAAATCCAAGGGGTTCCTATCACATGCCACCATTTTAATAAGTGTACCACAATCTTGAGAAGCGTGCCACTGCTTCAAAAGCATCCTACCATCTCTAGAAGTTTGCAACAGCCTTGAGAAGCATTTAACAACACTAAAAAGTGCATGGTTGTTTCGAAAGCATGCAGCTGCATCAAAACTACATTGAAAGCATACAAATACACTATACAAATACACCAAAATATGTGTAAGTGCATTGCGTGAGTGCACTAAAAAGCACAAAAAAGTATGCCAATATATTGAAAGCAAGCAAACACATAGTGCAAGTGCTCTGAAAAGCGAATGTATACTGTACAAACACATCAAAAAGCGTTCACGTCTCCGAGAGATTCAAATTCTCGCATGTGCTTTGACAAATATGCTAATGTGCAAATACGAAGTATAAGAATATTGTACGGAGTTAAAGCGAGTTAAACTAAAATCATCTTTTCAAATAAAATACCCATATGTGCTCCAAATGTTGCATCAAAGTCCTAAATACAAGGTCCAAGAATATTGCGCCGGTCAAAATAAACAGGAAATCAAATTTCAAGTCCAATCCTTTGATGGATCGACCGATTTGATTAGGAGGGAATCATGAAGTTTTCTAATCAAGACAGAGCTGTTTAGAAAGTTATTAATCAAAGGGAAATTATTTAGGAATGTTTAAATTATAATTTGGAGGGAATTATTTAAGCAAGATATTTAATTTGAATTCAAAATCTAAGAGGGAATTATTTAGGAAAAAGGATGGGGAATTCAGGATGATTGTTTAGGAAATTTTAATTTCAATTGGGAGGGAATTAATTAGGGAAAGAAATCTAATTTGTATTCAAATCTGAGAGGGAATTATTTAGATAAAGGGGCAGATTTGGGAGGAAATTATGGGAGCCTATTTAAGGCTAACAATAGGGTGATTTCAGGAGGATATTTTGAGTTTGATGAAATTAGAATTTCTTAGGTTATGAGGGTTTTAGCTGCCGGCTAGAGATTTGGGAGTCGGATCCTCCTCTCCAATTGAAGATCCAACTGTACCATGTTGTTTTCTTTTATATATCTTGCAATAAAAAAAGGTTTTGATGTGCTCTTCTTAATTTCTTATATTCGTTCACTGATTTCGAGACAATTGTATCCATTTCTTATCAAATTGATATCATATCACTTTTTTGGGACCTATAGTGGCAAAAAAAAGTTGATGTCTTGGAAGAGCATCTTAATGGAAAAGTTGACCAACTCAAATTGACATTTGAGAATAGAATGACATCAATGGATGAAAAGTTTTACAACTTAGAAGAAATTATGAGGAAACTATTGGAGCTTCACACCCAACCGACAACATCGGAAGCGAGAGCACCGTTGATTGAACTAGAAAGTGGGGGAAACCCTAATATATGTACAATGAGGGAGGATCAGGAGGTAGAAGTTTTGGGGGAAGAAGGGGAGATGTCATCTTTGGAACCACTTCCAAGGAGGGGAAAGGGTGAAGGAGTAGGATTTTTGGTGGAGTTGAAAAGTTGGGAAGGAGAAGAAGATGAGGAGAAGATAAAAGCACCAAACATGGTTCAGCCACTTCTATAGCAATATCGAGAGGTGTTCCAACTAGTTCGGGGTTGCATCATCCGTAGGAATGCGAGCATGCGATCATCTTGAAGGAAGGAGTCTCGCCTATCAGTGTTCGTCTGTACCGTCATCCCAAAATCCAGAAGGATGAGATCGAGAGATTGATTAGAAAAATGCTGGAGGAAGGAATCATTCGACCCAGTTTCAGTCCAGTGCTATTAGTCAAGTGCTTCAGCATCAGTTTCCATCATTCCACCTATGATTCCACCTGGAGGATAAGGTGGCACTTTGGGAGGGGAATATTGATGGACCGGCCGATTTGATTGGGAGGGAATCATGAAGTTTCCTAATCAAGAGAAAGTTGTTTAAGAATGTTATTAATCAAAGGGGAATTATTTAGGAATGTTTAGGAAAACTTTAAGCAAGAGATTTAATTTAAATTCAAAATCTAAGATGAAATTATTTAGGGAAAATGATGAAGAATTAACGAGGGATTGCTTAGGAAAACTTTAATTTTAATTGGGGGGGGGAATTAATTAGAGAAATAAATCTAATTTGAATTCAAATCTGAGAGGGGATTTTTTAGGAAAAGAGGGCTGATTTGGGAGGGAATTATGGGAGCCTATTTAAGGCTAACAATAGGGTGATTTCAGGAGAATATTTTGACTTTGCTGAAATTAGAATTTCTTAGGTTGTGAGGGCTCTAGCCGCTGGCTAGGGATTTGGGAGAGCTGGATCATCCTCTCCAATTGAAGATCCAATTGTACATTGTTGTTTTCTTTTATATATCTTGCAATAAAAAAAGGTTTTAGTGTGCTCTTACTAATCTCTTATTGTTGTTCAATAATTTCGAGGAAGTTGTATCCACTTCCTATCATCCTCCTCTTTGAAATGACTATAATTGATTAGATTTGAATTAATAAATAATACACAACTATTAAATCCATGAAGACATTTTGTTTTACATTCACATTGGGCTTTTAATATTTTTTTTTAAGAAAATTCATTATAAAAATACAAACTCTTTAATTAACATTCATAAAACAATTTACAAAATAAACAATTAAACTCGATCCTTTGTTGGCAGGCAAGCATATTTGATTGCTCAAATTCAAAAAATAAAAGGGTCAAATCCTCCCAATAATAGCCGTATTGAAAGTGAATCTCAACTTAAGGGGATTCTCTTATAAAAAAGTTATATAAACTCAAATTGAACCTGATCATACGCCAATAAATGGGTGGAGTTGATAAGGTTCAAATATCAAAATAAAAAAATCTTAAAATTTTCAATTATAACCGTGTTGAAAATGAATCCCAACTTAAGGAGACTATTTTATCAAAATGCTTCATGAAATCAAATCTCTGCTATAAGCGGGAAGAGCTGACAAGATTCAAATATTTAAAAAAAAAAAAAACTTAAACTGTTTGATGATGACCATATTGAAAGTAAATCTCAATTGGAAAAGACTCTGCTATCAAAATGCCAAATAAACTCAAATTGAATATATCCCATAACAACAAATAGACAGAATTGACAAAATTCAAATAACAAAATGAAAAGGCACAAAATCCACAATGGTGGTCACTTTAAAAGTGAATATCAACCAGAGGAGATTATATGATTTTCAAAATACCCCAAATTTTAATGTTAATCACTCAGGGTGCAAATTCTAATAAAAATTCAAAATTTATTATCTATCAAAATGTAAAATGTTCAATTGAAATCTACTATAACTTAAAGCAAAATCCATCTACCATCTTCAACTATATGTTGAGGATAATAAATTTAAGAACAACTTTAGCTCATAAATAATCAATTTATTATAGAGAATACCACTAAGATTCATTCTCAAATAATCACCCGTCAATAACAACATAACATGTGTCATCTAACCGGTGATTTTGCTATAAAATGACACCACATGTAAACGGTTATTATCAGTATTCTTTGATCTAAAATTGATGCAATAAATTTCCTTTGCATATATATTATTGATTTAGTATATCTGAATTTAATATTTATTTTCATGAACCACAATAATAAGTGATTATATTCTTAGTTTGCTTTCAATATTTATATGTTTATTTTGCATTAATTTGATAACATAGTTTTAAGGTCCCCAGCTCAGATGGGCACCCTCTACGACTTTTTTGAGCGCATGGACCACGTATAAAGTAGCTTGTCCAACTAGGTAAGACTAAAGTAATTTTATTTCATACCGGATGAAAAAAGCATAGATACAGCATAGATGTACCAAATAAAGCCAGTAAATGAGAGGATGAGTTTTCTAACTTGACGGGCCATGTGGCACACGGCTGGTTTCCTTATCAATTGCACAAGGCAAGGGCACAAAGAATCTTTTTAAGCATAAAAGAAGCTGTAACTAATGAATAACACTTTCAACGGACATACCTAAATCTGAATAAATTAAATAATTCGAAGTGAATAACAACAGTCAAATGACAAAGCCGATTTCCACGACTAAACAGCAACAAAAAGCTAGAAGAAAGAAAGCAAATTCCAATGACTTATAGCCCATAAAAAGATAAATAAGTACCATCATATCAGCAAACAACCTAAACAACGCCAATGCATATCTTCATTTTCCTCGTAAACCAATGTTTTGAATCAAGTGCCACAAAACGGAAGATTTGAAGCCAAATGACAGAAACGTAATTATTAACAGAATGCTTCTTAAAAAATAGGAGGTTCGGAAAGAGCTACAGAAAATCGTATTGATGGACAAAGAACTTCACTGTTACCTTTTGAATGCAACGTAGAAGCTGAATAGGGTTTCAATGCCATAGCTTTCGCCAAGCAAGCCTCAACATCTTTCCATAGTGAAAGGCTTGAATAGAGACATGCAAGATCTTGCCAGACTTCAAATTCGTTGACATACTCAATCTGGATTTAAAAAAAAAAGAAGAAGATGAGCGATAACAACATTTTAGGATTCAATATAAGCAAGGCTTTCAAAACCAAAGTGTGGGTTAACGGGAGAATAATTGCTTTGTACTACAGAAATAACAAAGGCTACAAAAACTCCAATAGAGAAAAACAAGGATATGACTGGTAACTTTCACAACATTCTTTAGCGTAAATTGAAGATCACATCAAAAAATGGATTGAACATCACTTGAGTACAATATTAGGGAAATTTCAGTACACCGGCCACCATCAGCAAAGGAAAGTATAGATAGCAATCTTCATGCTGGTTATGATAACAAAGGCAAATGTTTAATATAAACATTTGAAGTGGATAAGAATTCCAGAAGAAAAGTGGAACAACAAAATTCTAACCCGCATCATTGTGGTCCCAATAATGTTCAAAATCCAGACGAAAATTACATAGAGGTTCTGAATTTGGGCAGAAAAAAAAGACATGCACAAATTCCGAACTTCAAGTTTCTCAAGACACGATGCATTTTTCATTGGTTAAGAAACTCCATTACTTGGTGATTGAGAGCTTTGAAAGAGCTACTCAACTCTAAAGCAGAAAGGCATACCTTCAGAGGTCAATTAATAAGTGAATGAGCACCACCCAAAGATTTTAACCTTAATGAGGACTTTATGTAGGCAAAACCTCCTATGACTAACTGTTCCTTCTAATTGTCAGAAAGAATTATTGAATAAGGATGTTTTGAAATACTTTTTTTGGATAATGGTTTCATATATTTTGATTTAAATTATTGCTCAAATGTTTATAGGAGATTTGGATTTGACGTAGTGGTAGTTAACCTTGTCAAGATTCATTCCATCATTTGAGATCTATTGTTGAACCTTGTTTGCAATAGTTGGAAGAAATGCATACTTTTTTTGGGTCTTCTACCTGCCTGAGTATTTTTAAAACCATGGTTCCCTCGTCTAATGGCTTACCATAGATTAAAGTTGAAAAAATAGAAAGGACAATTTTGTGGTGAACCTTGGCTAAAAGAGGGTGGTTTGTCTCCCCTATTGGATGTACATATAGCTAAGAGGCTTGGAGGCATAGATTATTAGGGACTTGTCCGTTCAAGTCAGGAGTAAATATTGGATTTAAAGAAAACTGACGATCTTTATTGGCTTGAAGGTTGCAAGCATGGCAGACTGAGTCATAATATTAAGGCATCAACAATTTTGCGAAGATTAGTCTTTTTTTATTTTAACGCACTTGGCAAGATTTGGCTCTGGGTAGAGGGGTGACTACTCAAAGCATAGAATAGTCATTTGTTTTTTTTTTTTTTTTTTTTTTTTTTTTTTTTTTTTTTTTTTTTTTTTTTTTTTTTGTATTTTCATTTGTTTTATATCCCTTAGGTGAAGATTCATCTTTTAAATCACTGACAAAGGGATTGAATTGTTTTCTTTAGGAACCAAGTGTGGATACCCGAATGACTTTCTTATGGCGTGTTAATGTCATTTTAATTGCAGATGAGGGCTTTAGAATCTCAGTGAATTATTGATGTAGCTATGAAACGGACTCTAACAATTGATAGTTTTTACTACGGCAGCTCAGATTGGGTTAGAATATCTTAGGATACCCTGTGTCTTCTTTGAGAGTGCAATCATTTGATAAGTGAGGGGTGAACTCCACCAAGAATGTCATGGCCAAGGGTCTACTTGTTAATTAGGAATGCTAATGTATCATGCTTACATAACACGGTGGATCACACATGAAGACATGACACAATTTGAGCTTGTCATGTGGGTGTAACAAGGACCAATGAGAAATCAACAAAATATTGGATTTGACAATTCATGTTATTTTAATGCCAAGTGTTGCTCCGTAATTGGTCCGCATTTTACTTGGAAAATTATATTAGACTTAGTGTTGATCAGGTCATTTTAACATTCAAGTGTATACATAATTATAAGTTGGGGTGCATAATTATACATAGAGAAAGCTTTCTATTTGGGAGCATACAATCATACAAGGAGAAAAAAAAAAAAAAAACTCTCTATATGCGGTCACATAATTATGTTGGGACCCACTTAATAATGTATGAATCAATTTGTTTATGACAAAATGAGGCCATGTAATTACACAATGAACCATGCAACTATGCCTGCATCTTTTGTTCACTATTTGAGACATAGATATTGGGCATAATTATGCATAGCTTAGTTGGGGAAGTTTTGCACTTTTTTGGGACTTTGATTTGTTGGCTCAAAAGGGCTCATAAGCTCTTACCTTAGGGTTTTTTTGTCTGCTCTCTTGGAGTTACAGGAGGAGCAGTGCAAGATTTCAAAGACAAATTGAGAGATGTCCCAAAGATTTCTTGATGTAGGATGGTTAAGAAGGTTTCCGAATATAACTTAAGATGAGATACACAAAAGACACACACAAAGAACCACAATCTGCAAACTAACAACTCTTATCCTCATAAAAAATAGTAACTTCTAATATAAAAACAACAAAAATACTTCATTACAAACAATAGTTTGATAGTCAACAAAAGCTGAAATTTCATAACAACAAAAATGAACAAATATAAAATATCAACAGCAATCAACATTCACAATATGAAAACAAAACCAACACAAATCACACCTGATTAAACTTCAATTAGGTACACAATAGCCACTAAATAAATTTATAGCAACAATATGAATAGAAATCACCCAAGAGAATATCTTGGCCTCACACCAATAAAAGGAGACTCACCCTCGTAATTAGTCATCAAGACCCACAAAGCATACATATCAAACCAAGGAGCACACAAGAATTGAGAAAAACTTTAATTTTATTTCAGTGCTCAATGTTCATTTACTTTTTCATACCCCGGGAGTCCTATTTATAGCCCAAGAAAAATCCAAAATAAACATTCCTCATAATCCTCTAAAATCCACCCGAATTTCACTAGTTCTGATTCTCCCAGCATTTAGATAGTAGGAATCAACTTTATGTTTCATGTTTTTCATATGTATGCATCTATATAAGGAAAAGCAAGAGGTAGTAATTGTTAGCGAATTCTCTCCGGCACAATAGTGATCAAAGATGATTTCAATACTTTCGGCAATCAGCATAATCAAGAAGATCTGAAGATAGAAAATCAACGTTTAAAAGGAATATGGCGACCATAGCAATCCTATAGGATTGTAGCAATTAGTGGAATGGAAGGATTCTGCATCATTTCCCTTGGCCTGACTTGGGGACGTTTCACACGTTAAGGCTTACATGCTCTTATTGTAGTTTTCTACGCTCTTATTGTAGCTTTTTTTTTGCTCTTATCATAGTTTTCTCCACTCTTCTAGAGTATTAGGAGGAGCAACATAGGATTTCAAAAGCAAATTGAGAGATGTCTAACAGAATTCCCTTCGCCAATCAACAAAACCAACCAAGGTTTATTTTGATTATAGGTATCATGATTCCCCATGATCGTAAGCCCCCTTAGTTAATTATATCCCAACTTATAAGTGGAGAGCACTCTCAATCAACGATGTCAACTATATTCTGAAAAAGTTGTCAGCATTCATATTGAATATGAGGAATGGTGATCAAATGGATCAAAATTCCATGTTTCCATCGCCCCAAATCGATATGGTAGACTTAATCTACCACTGAGAAGTCTTAAAGTTGTATCGTCCAGGGAGCTTGATTAGCATCTAAGAACTAACACTTCTTAAGTATCCTGATAAACAGAGATGGTGGCGGAAATTAGAATGCCTTCATGGAATCATACAAACAAAAAAAAAGGAGAATTGTGCCAAACAAGTTTGGTGGAAATTAAATAGTGTTTAGGTTAAGATATAGTTGGATTTGCCTTAAAGTTACTGATATAAGAGTATTGAGAAATTTGCACAAGCTCCAATCATAATTACTTAAAAACTCAACCCAATTGGACAAACCCAACAGAATCAGTATTATGGTTTATGTTTGGGTGAAGATTAAGTCCTGGCAAGGAGGTTTGTTGCCTGAGAAAATGATCGTCTGCTTATTGCTACAAAGTGACATGGAAAATACATAATTCATTTCAAAAACCTCATACAGAGAAAAGGAAGGAAACCTGTGTACTGCTCTTGAAAGAACTAAAAGACTTCCTTTGGGCCTGAACAAGAGCAAGCAGGAAACAGTATGTGTCAACTGCATCCATAGGTAAAGATTCAGCAACCTTTATTTTTGCTTTAATTCTAAGTAACGGCCCTTGTTCCCACTTCGATGTCTCATCCAAAGCAGCATCCGTAACAACTTCGGCCTCCAGGTATCTTTGCTGGGCAGAAAGGAGCAAAGAGAGTAACCTCCAACCCTTCAGCATTGCTCCACCAGTTGCATCAATAAAAGTTTTTGCACATCGAATTGCAGCATTTGTATTGCATTCTTCAGCATATTGAAGGCCCAAGTCAAATATCAACTCCGAATTATGCTGATCTAGAATCACCGCGGCCTCCAGAGAACTTATTGCTTCAGCTTGCAGGCGACACCTTTCTTGGGCAGACAGCGCAGACTTAGCTTTCATTCCCATGCAAATGCCCAAAAATTGAAGGCCCAAACTACTAAGATGCTTCTCTGCCCTTTGGCCATTGGCGATGACATTTTGGGAATAATAGATTCCTTCAGAAGCTAGGAGACAATCCTTGCTACAGATCTTAGCTGCTAATAGCAATGCCCTCAAATCACCCGGATTTTCATGCTTATGCAGAACTTTCCTTAGTAAATTTAAAGCCTCTTCATCATGTCCTGCTCCGCAGAGGCAAAGAGATAAGGTATACCACCTATCACGTCTGGGATACATTCCAGGTAAGACCTCTTCAATGTGTCTTGACAAAATATTAGTCTGACTGCATTGGGATAAGGCAAATGTAAAATGATCCATCAATGATGGATCCCACTGAATCTGACCAAGATACCATTTCTTCAACAAAATCATTAAGAGCAAGATGGCCTCCTCCAAGTTGTTTTTTGGAACAAATGAACCATCCGTTTGAGCAGCCAAACATGGGGGACCAGCCTCTACACCACCATATAGCAGGAGGACTGCAAATCTTTTCTGTATACCCACACGGCATTCATCTTCAAGATTCCAGTGACCAAGAAGAGCACGTCTATATGAAGCCAAAGCTTCCTGATACTGTCCAGCTTGCTTCCAGAGTTCTGGAAGTAACTCCACAGCCTTACGAACTGTTTCTTGTAATTTATTCTCAACCAACACATCCGGTATGCCATGACGGAACATCTTCTCTGCAGCATCAAGGACACTTTTGCATTCTATAGCAGCCTCTGCAATGGCACAAAATGAAGAAACGATGCTTTCCTTTCAATTAAAACAAAAGAAGGGAACCATGATTTGGCGAGAGTCATAATCAGCATTAATAAGTGCTCCAAATATCATGATATTAATAGGATGAACGCAACCTAAATCACACGAGGACAACAAGCAGTCCTTACCAGAAGCCCTGCCAAGCTTCTGAAGAGATCTTGCCTTCAAATATATGGCTTCAAGAACAAGCCTAGCGGCATGTTGTGATGCTGAATGCTGTAATTCACCACGATGACGGCTTTTCCTTGGAGAAAGTTTATCAGAAAGTGAAGATTGTAGGCGATGGATGGCAGCTTGGAGGTCAATACCATCAAAAACCCTCAAAGCAGCTTCAATATTGCCTCTGTGATATTCAAGCCTACCAAGGAGGGCTCTTGCTTCCTGCAGCATGTGAAGAACAAACATTGTGGATGAAGTAAAGAAAAAATGTCCAAAACAACTTTGGTTGAAGAAAAAAAGAGTATCATGGTGATTTATGAATACCATAGAATAAATTATTCAATACGCTAGAATCACACATTGTAATCAATACAGCAAAAAGCTTGAACGGCTAGGTGAGCTAAGCTACTCTCTTAAAGTCAAGTCAATCTTCAGAGGTTCCGTTTGAGCCTTGAAAAGCTACGCACACTTTTCTCACCCAACAAAGTCTACAACTTTATACTTCATGTTTACTTGGAAAATGAACATTACAAAATAAGCTAAATGGAACTGAAAAATTCAAGGAGCATAAATAGGACCAAGTTCTGCTCATGATGCAATTAAGTGGTGACTTGCAAATAAAGAATTAGTAATTAGAATATGCCTGGTTTCAAATATAGTGCATATATGATGCAATGCATGTTTCATAAGCATTGTTCATTGTTCATACTTAATAGACAAGTTCATAGGCCATTAACAGTTCAGAAATTCATATCGTACGTACATTATTCCAAATTAAAAAAAATCAATCACAAAGGACAAAGAAGAAAAATAAAGCTCAAAATAATTAATTTACTTGTCAATTGCTTTTAGTATAATTGCTCATAATAAATTATTTTCTTAACAACGATTTAAGTATGGTAATTATGCTATTGCCAACAAGTTACAAAAACTATCATGTTTTTACCATGTATATGGAATACCAATTAATTCTAACAATCTTAGTGCTGAGGAGAATTAAATAGATTTGAAACAGCTTCTGTTCTTGAGCAGATCTTAGTCATTCCACAATTTAAAAAGTTTATTTTAATTTTGATTTAGTTTATTTTTCCTAATAATCATGGTGCCTTGAAACCTAGAATCCCCTCTTTCATGGTTAAACATAGCTCAAAATAAAAAAAATTGAATTTCCTACTTCCTTCACTACAGCTCAAAATAATTGACTTATACGTTTATTCTTTTAATGAGATTGTGCATAATAAATCATTTTCTTACCACTGATGTAAGTTTCATGGTTCATTATACTATTGCCATCAAGTAATTTTTGGAGTATTCTTTAAAAGGTGGCAATGCTAGATTAGGTTCTATTCAATCACTTTTGATTTACAATCAGTCAAAAAAGAACCATATTCCAATAGAATATCCCCACCTCTGCTCTCGTAAAACCCTTGACATATAAACAAACCTAACATCAATTTCTCTCTCTACAAATTTTTTAATGATTTAGACAACCGATATAGATATAATCTCCTTAATATTCTTTACAACTCTTTCTATGACATATATTCCATAGCAAACAATGCTAAAGATGTAAAGATTTCCTAGGAAACAAAACATGGTTTAGATGTTTTGTGCTAGAAATATTTGATATCCTATAATTATATTTTAACACTCTTTGCAATTGACATGGTTATTGTTAAATGTATCGATAACCAGTTTCAACCGCAACAAGAGCTCCTATGGAAAGACCAACTTAAGGACATTATTTTTTCAAAAGTGTCTAAGATTTCATGTGCAGTGGCTAAGTTTCCTACTTCACGGTTAGTGCAAGGAGCTTGATTCATTAGCGGGAAATGACCTTTTACATGAGTTCTAAAAAGCTCATAACCAATTAGATTTATGACCAAAGAAAAAAACTTCACAGCTTTAGCAAGGGTAAAGATAATTTCCTATTGATTGTTAATCAACTTTTTTGCAAAATTTGTCCACGAGGGAGGGACTTATCCCCTAGATTTAAGACTTTGAACGCTTTTGAAAACTAAATATCAAATTGCTGAAGATCATCAATTGATTTATCATCATTTATACATAAGGAAAGCATAAAAATGAGTTTAACATAAGGAAAGCATTAAATCTATAAGGAAGGAAAATAGATAAAAACTCCCTTTTACATGGGTGTTAGTGCCATATGTTTTAAGTCACTTCGCCCATGGAAATCTTCAGGTGGTTCTTTTTTTTTTTATTTTTTTTTTTCTTTTTTGTTTGTTTGTTAAATCTTCAAGGAACAAGGAGCCAGCAATCAGAAGGTTAACAAATTTAACAGTTGACTTTCCGCCAACCTATATTTTTTTCAATTTTATTTATGATTGACCTTTTAAAACTAGGGTTGCAAATGAACAGAGTTGCGCTGAGCATATGTATGTTCATATTTAAGTTCATTTAATATCAGCTTGTTTAAGTTTGATTCAAGCTCAATTCGATCTTTTATGTTCTTGTTCAATCTTAGTTCTTTTAAATTAATGGATGCTCATATTTGGTTCATATTCAATTTGTTTGATGCATATCGAGCTTTAAATAAACAAATCTTATCAATCTATAAAAGATCTATACTTCTAGATGTTCATTAGCTTGAAATATGAGCCTTGCTAAGCCTACTAACAAATAATTACATCGAGTCTATTTGTAAACATATCTAGCGAGTATTTTCGAACCACCAAATGAGCTCCTTCATAAACATATCAAGCAAGTTTTTTCAAGCTACCAAACGAGCTTTTTTGCGAACATAACGAGCAAGGGTTTTCAAACTATCAAAATCAAACAAGCCTATTCATGAAAAAATCTAGCAAGTTATTTTGAGCTACCAACCGCGCTAGTTCACGAACAAACATATAAATAAAAATGGCAATGAAAAAAGAATTCAAAACTAGTAGAACGGATAACAACAATAACAACAACAACAATAAAACCAAGCTTTTATCCAACTACGTGGGGTCGGCTACATGATCATTTTTTTTGAATTTAGTAGAACGAAAAGAAAAAAACCTGTAATAACTTCTCCACCAAAACAAAAAAGAAAATAAACAACCTCCTAGCTTGTCTCCTAGCAAAAAACAAAATTCTCCACTTTCGTCATGCCTCTCTTTTATTTTATCACATATAACTAAATAATATGATAAAATAAAAATAATTGTAATTAAATTATACATAATATCAATTTAATAGATATTTATAACTTATTTTAATTAATTTATAGTATAATATTTAATTTTAAAATTTATTAATTAATAATTATTATATCATTAAATTATAATAAATATAAATATTTATATTAGGTACGTTCATCAATTTTATAATCAAACATTAATTGAGTTTTTAACCAGCTTATTCATGAACTCTGTATCGAACTGAAATCGAGCTTCTTCACAAGCTTTAAATGATGTAGTACATAAACATAAATGAGTCGAACACATAGTTGTTCAAGCTTTTTTTATTTAAGTATCGAGTATTAAAAAAATGTTCAGGCTTGGTTGCTTAATTAATTAAATGATTACGAACGAACTTTAATTGAGGCGAGCCAAGAGTAGCTTATTTAATGCTCGGTTCGTTTTCAGCCCTATTTAAAACCATCATTTTCACACCTAACCAATACAAACTTAAGACACACCTAACAGTAGAGGATGAAGTATCAAAGATAAACAAAGCCCTCAACATGTCCCTCAAGTCAAATACCACTCGAAATATGTTGTAGATATGGAGGAAAAATTGAGACCACATATTGCTCCGGACAATATATTTCGGCACTAAACCTGAAAAACTCGAGCTATGGACTTCCTAAGCAAACCTCCTGGAACAAAATCCCCACAATGCAGAGAAGGGTTGAGCAACCAAGCACTTACTTAGATTCTATTAAAACACTTTTTCATCCTAACTCAATCAATAGTAAAAGTACAATCGAAACCAATCACGTTTCTCATCAGCATCCTCAATTTAAACCTCCTTAAGAAATCACCAAGAAGGAAAATACATTCATTCATTCTTTCAATACCTAGAAACCAAATCAAAGGATAGAGAAACATCAAGCAGTCAGACGCCGTCACCTTACAACCAAAAGCAGCAAGCAATCTGAGAAAGAAACAATCTCCAACTCCACCACCATCTTCCAGCCCGAATTGAACACCAAATCACCCCAAAAACACAAAACCTAAACAGAATTCCGATAAACAGAAACAAAAAAAATAAAAAAGCAGAAAACCTCGTAGTTCAGCGAAAGCCCCTCTCGCAGCGACGACTCCGCCTCATGGATCTCTCCATCGTCCTGCTTAACCTCGCATTCCGACGCCTTCACCGACGCGCCGTTTACTGAAGTCTCCTCCCCCATCACTCTTTCCACCTCCGCCAGCCACCGCAACTCAGCGAGTAGCAGAAGCGAACAGAGCGGTGAGATCGGTGCCGAAGATTGTTCTCATAACCCGAAATCGTCAGACTGGGGACCGCAGCCGGGCTCAGAACATATCGGTGGCGGTGGTCGAGAGGGGACTCCGACGAGAAGCGCGAGATCCATGAATGCTCACTGAGCTTGAGTACAGGACGAAAATAGAAATGGTCAGAAAGGCCGAGAGGTACAGTATTCGGAAGAAGAATCGATGATGAACTGTGAACCGCGGTTCGAACTGGTTCGGTGGTTCGGCTTTTAATAGCATACGGTCAATGGGGCCCACCTCGGTTCAGGATAATGGCCATTTTTAATGCATCATCCGAATAGTACCTTTGTAGTGTACTACCTTTAATTTTTTTTTATTACCCAAAAAAAAAAATCTTACCCCCCGCTTCTTGTCTGGGTGGTGAAGAACTGGTTGAGCAAAGTCTAGGTCCTTGGTTCGAATTTCTTGGCAAGCAGTGAAAGCCTTAAGTGTTGGCCCGTGTAAATTTGTGTAGGTTGCATGCTAGGTCGACCGGGATTTTCACTGGCCTAAGGATAATGCTTCCTTGTCATAAAAAAAAAAATCCTTTAATTTTTTTAAAACGCGGCTCATTTTGATCCGCTAATACTTTTAAAATATAATATTCTGAATAAAAAATAATTTTTGAATTTAATTTTTTAAATTTAAAATTTAGACTATTAACTTTTTCTCTCTCTTGACAAACAAGACAAATGATTTGGCACTTTTACTTAATTAGGTTTTAAACATTATCCTTTTTAAAATTCGGCCCGTTTTTCCCAAAAAAAAAAAAAAATCTTACCCACCGCTTCTTGTCCGAGTGGTGAAGAACCGGCTGAGCAAAGTTTAAGTTCCTGGTTTGAATTCCTTCACAAGCAGTGAAAGCCTTAAGTGTTGACCCGTATAAATTGGTGTGGGTTGTATGCTAGGTCGACCGGGGTTTTCACTGGCCTAAGGACAATGCTTCCTCGTCACAAAAAAAAAAAAACCTTTAATTTTTTTTAAAACGCGGCTCATTTTGATCAGCTAGATTGAATAGATTATTATGTGCGGTGTTTGAATGCGATCGGAAGTTAATTTAGATACACTGCATCTAATGTATTATATATTGGATGATGTGAAATAATATATTGGATGATCTGACGTGTCAAGATTGACCTCCAAACTTGTCTTGACACGGCCCGTATAATTTTCTTAAGTTAGGGGCTTTAGCAATCAAAAATTTTATTACCTTTTTAACTAATTTTTTAATACTAAAAACTACTTTAGAAAACAGTAAAAAAATGTTTCAAGATTTTGTTTGGAACAATCTTTTTATAGTTTTTTAAAGCAACTTTCTAATATGTAAATTTCTTGAATTAAAAAATTTTGCACAAAAAACTTGTTTTTGAAAGCATTAAGAAAGCTGTTCCAAACAATGCCTAAGAAGTCCTGAGTTAGGCCACATAAAATATTGACCTTCTAATGATCTGATTAAGAGAGTAAATGTATTAGCCCAATCTATATTAAGAAAAAAAACAGATAAACCTAAAAAAAATTGATTAGAAATCATTAGAAATGATTTTAGGCATATTATTATTTTAAGAAATTAGTTTTTTTTTTAATGTTAAGATTTATTTCAGTTTTATGAAAAAAGCTAAATTTATTAGTCTTTTTTAAAATAAATTAGTATGAATTATTTATGATTAATTAGTTTCATATATGATTAAAATTAATTTTAAATTATTTGATCTTATTTCTGTAATTTTATTTTCATAATTAGAGATTTTCAGTTGTATTTGAGCAACAATTGATTGAATATTAGCTTGATAAATAAAATTATATGGTGAGGCAAATTATAAGTGTTCTCTATAAATCCAAATTATATGCACGGAATTCCTTCTTTCTTCTTCCTGCTGCTTTATCTAGTTGATATTGCCTTCGTTTGGGACGGCTTTCTTATTACTTCATGAAGCAAATTTTGAATGCAAAAATTTTAGCATTTGTAATAAAAAGTTATTTTAAGAAGCAGTAAAAAAGCCGTCCCAAATGAAGCCTTAGAAATTGCAACAACTTTAGCATTTGTTTGGGATAACGTTTTTACTGCTTTGCTTGTCAGACTCCAAACACAATTTCTGTTTGGCTGTTATTTATTCGTAGCTTTGAAAAAAACTATGTTTTAGAAAATTGCTCTTCATAGCAGCTTTTAAAAAAGTTACTTCACCACAACAGCTTTATAATCACTTTTATAAATAACTATAGCAGTTTGTTTGGGACAGCTTTGTCGTTGTTTTACTTTTCTGATAATCATAAGTTATTTGACTACAAAAATAGAAAATAATATGTCTGTAATTTAACAATGTCCTAAGTAATTATGTTATATTTATTTATGTCCATTGGTTGGTGGAGTTTCCTTCAAATGTTCACAGTGAACAGCCAAAATGTTATTAGTTAAAGCTAATAAGGATGATGTTGATGTGGATCTTAAACCACATATAGGGTATGTTTGAGATTATTTTTTTTTAAAATATTATTTCATAAATATTATTCTAAATATTTTATTTTTAATTTGTAAAATGAATTAAGTTATTTTTTAAAAATACTTAAAATAATTTTGAGATGTTTTGAATATTTTAAAAATAGCTTAGAGCTGCTTACCATCACCGTCACAGCAAATTATTACGTATGTTGTCCGGATTCGTCCGGACACCAATCCAAAATACACCGGACCTTGATGTATTTGGGTGACGTGGCTCGTCTGGATTGAATTTCCGGACGTAATAATTCGCCCACCGCTACGTCCACTGTCTCCGACAAACTCCTCTCTTACCATAGCTGTTTCTTAGCTAATGGAATTTTAGAAGTGGTTTTCTAAAAAATCTATTATTTTTCCTTTACTGAAAGCCAACAGGATTCTGAACAAGAATTGGTAGCAGAAAATAAGACTTTATTTGGGAATTGGGACAGCTTTACTCCTGTTTTTTAAAGAAAATTTTTGTATAATTTTTCTTTATTATAAAATTGTTTTAAAAAGGAATAAAAAATTGTCTCAAATTAAAATTTTATTTAGGACAGCTTTTTATTGATTCTTAAAGTAACTTTTTAATATAAAAATTATAAAATTTGTACAAGAAACTTGCTTTAAGAAATAATAAAAAGTGGTCACAAATGAAGCCTAAGACTTCGGCTTCATTTGGGACATTTATAGATCACTATTTTTTTTATACTTTCAAGATATTTTTTTACTAAAAATAATAATTTTACAAAACATTAAGAAAACGTATCAAATAAAACTTTCATTTTTGTAGCTTTCTAAAATATTTTTTTTAAAAAAATTTATAAAAAAACTAAATCTCACATATTATTATAAAATGATCAAACAAGAATTGGAATCGAATCCACCGCTGCTTGTCCGGCTGGGCAAAGCTCAGGTCCTTGGTTTGAATCCTTTGGCAAACACTGAAAGCCTTAAATATTTGCCCGTATAAATTGGTGCGAATTACATGCTAGATCGACCCGAGTTTTTAGTGACCTAAAAACAGTACTTTCTCGTAAAAAATAAATAAAAAAAAAAAAAAAAAAAAAAAAAAAAAAAAAAACCCGGATGTGTGTAAAAGCCAGCATCACGATTGGACAAGGCATATAAATACTATAAGTTATTTATAGTTATTGGCCACCTCCTCACAGTACTATTGCTGCTTGCAGGGTCTTACTGTTGGTATTTAATGAGGGCTTTCAGAGTAGCTGGCAGTAATTTTTTACGTTTTTTTTTTTTAAGGACATTTAGGCCATTTAACGCAAATAATTTTTTTTTTTTTTACGTTAATTTTATTGATGCAAAAACATCGGAAAAACCGAAAATCATATAAATATAGTACAGACAGCTATGATAATTTTTATGTATAATGATCCATTGATTCAGGTCTCTTATTTTTTGTACTATCAGATAAAGAATTCAATTACCTCTCCTTTTGAACTTTTGTATCTTGTTTGGATGAAAGGAGGGGTAGGATCAAGTAAAATTTAAGGTTTTGTTTGAAATAATTTTATTATTATTTTTTAAAATAATTTTTTAGTATAAAATTTAAATTTGTTGAAATTTTATCTACTACTCTTAAGGACGCATTATTTATCCTATATTCTACATGTAAAAAACGAAATTATATCTAAAAATATTTTATAATTATTTTTAATTTTACCTTTTATCAATTTTAACGCTCCTATTTTTTATAAGCACATTTAGATAGTTTCGTCTTTTTTATTATCCATGGCCCGAATGATTATCCTAATTATAGATTATGAGAAGCTAATCAAGTTTTATAGAGTGCAAATGATCTGAGATAAACTTTTAAAAAAATAATAAAAAAAAAAATTTGCGTTTTATGAAAAAATGCTATTTAAGCTCCTTAAATTTATTTTTAATTACATTTTTCTTAATTATTTTGAAATGCCGATCCTTTTTAAAATTCTAACCTCTTAATTTGCCCTTTGTTAATTTTTTTAAGATGGAAATCTACGTAATCCAAATGAACTTCCATGTATATTTCTCCAATAAGACATTGAACAAATTTCTCATATTTCAAGCAACATGAAGCATATAAAATCAAAATTTTCATTATTTTTAAGATACCAAATATATTTTATTTCATATAAAAATAAAAAAAAAATGAAAATGATGCGCAAATAATGCTAATTATAACCTTGTAATTTGCCCTCTGTTAACTTTTATAAGAAAATATAATTAAAAAAAAAAAGAAATTTAGCAGTGGCTTTCTTGCAAGTCCATTATTTTTCCTTTCCTGAAAGCCTAGAAGATTCTAAACAAGAACTGGTAACAGAAAATAAATTTCACAAGCAGAACGGAAGATTATGATAAAAAGATCAAAGAATAGTTGGAACCTGATGCAGGTATAGCTTGCCATCATGATTGGACAAGGCACAGAAATACTATGAATTATCTACAGTTATTGGTCACCTTCCTTCAGTACCAACTCATAATCCTATTGCTGGGTCTTACTGTTGATCTTAAATGTATGTTTTCAGAGTAGCAGGAAGCAGTTTTAAGCTAAAAAAAAAAAAAACATTGGAAAAGTCATATGAATAAAGTACAAGAAGTTGTGGTGATTTACAACCAAACAAAATGCTAATTATGGGTGTCAATTCGGAAAGGGTCGGGGATCCATAAATGGGCTTGACCCGAACCCACTCGTTTAGCTAAATGGGTCAAGATTTACAACCCGAACTCGACCCGCTCAGATTGTCAGGTTGACCCGACCCATGAACCCGCTTGCAATCCTGTTTTAAGCCAGCCAATCAACCATCTCAAATCTCGAACACCTCCAGCCCTCTGCCTGTGAGTGCGATTCCTGATAGTTTCGTGACCGAACAAGACCAAGCTGCCTTCGCCTCTACTGAGATCGCAGGCCAACAACCCTATTTGACCGAAGTGGCGAAGTCCTACGTTTGAAACACACCTCCGAATTCCGATCCTCACACCAATGTGGAGTCCCACTTCCGCCCGTTTGGCAGACCGAACGAGCCACCCTTCACATCCAAGTCTCTGTCTAACTGAAGCCCGACGCCCCTATGCCAATCTCTGCTCCGTCTGGAATTCGAGGGTTGAGGCAAAGCCCGGATGCACAGTCGCCAACGTGCCAAAGCCTTCTCAGATTTCGGGTCAAATCCGGGTTAGTAGGTTGACCCGAACCCGACTCGATTTTTCAAATGAATCAAAAACTGCAACCTGAACACGACCCATTTGTTAAATGGGTCGACCCAAACCTAGATTTTTTTGGTCGTGCTCGGGTCGGGTTATCGGTTTGTATCAATAATTGACACCCCTAATGCTAATAATGCTTGATATAAGCATACACATGTTTTATATTTTATTTCTTCGTTTTAGAGTGCTAGTAAATAAGGATACTATCGAGAAAAATTCCATCAAATACCATACAAAGGCTTCGTTTGGTACGCCTTTCTTACTGCTTCTTAAAGCAACTTTTTAGTATAAAAATTTTCTACTAAAAATTTATTTTAAGAAGCAGTAAAAAAAACGTCCCAAACCAAACCTAAATATGAGTGGATAACAAACATTGAATGATGATCGGAAGTAAGCATCTCGCAACATATGAAAACACCTGGGTTGCGAAGAACTCTACTTGAAAGAGTTGAAATAATGTTGCAGGAAGAACTAGATATTCTTGACCATATTGTTGTGCTAATGAAATCCTTTCCAGTTGGAAGTCTTTCTCTACAAAGAGGGGCACATAAGAATGGAATATTCATCTTAATGAAGAAGAGATGAGGAAATGATTATAACCATAAACAATAAAAAATTATTGAAGACCCTAATCATCATACTGAATCGAACTATCATCGCCTCTTACAAGATAGCTCTAATAGCATTAGGCATTCATGCATAATAATAGATTGATTCAATTATCTTATTTTGTAGAATCAACTAAAGAAAATCTATTCCCCTCATTTGGATTACTTTATCTTGGTTGGAATAATATGGTTAAGTGAGGTCCAGTAGAGTCATGCTAGGTCATCTAAGTTGGGCTAAACACAACTAGAATTATTGGGTTTGATTGGATTGAGCTAAGGTTTGGTAAAGATGTAAAATTAGATACGTTTGGAGAAGCTTATCATCATGATCATTATTAGCCTTATCCCAGTTTTTTGGGCTTGGCTTTACTACTAACTCATTTTTTATTCTTTCCTATAGAGAGTTACTTGAGATGTTTAAATTTATTATTCACAATTACTTTGAACAAGTTTTATACAGAGTGATCTTAGTCTACCACTTGTCTATTATGATTCCCTATCACTATTTGCCAAATTATCTTCGTTTGTCAAACTCAAATAGAAGATTAAAGAAAAAATCCACGCAATTTAGCTTCTAAAAATTTCAAAACATTAGGTCAAACTCAAATAGAAGATTGTATTGCACAGATGAACAGTTTGTTCAGAACAAAAGAAAACCATTACATGTGAAAAGCTGTTCTTACTTATTTTCATTGTTAACTCTGCTTCTAAGTATTTCAATACCCAAATAATCCATAGGACCATCAACTAAAATATCAGGTTTACCAACCTTCACTCTTACAGCATGTATCTGAGGATATTTAAGCAGTGTTGTGTTTGCTATCAGGTGAGCTACTGACTCCAATAGATTCTGACTCGGACCCTCCATAATCTCTTTAGTTGTTCTGCAGATTAGATAAGCAAATGTTCAAAGTTCTGCAAAAATTAATTTAAGAAAAAGGTTCAGAAGATATGATGAACTTAGACTAAAACTCATATAAATGTTAGCTGTATGAATATTTGCCGCCAAATACCAAGTAATATGCTTCAGTTACATTGTTTTTACTGAAAGGAAGCGCCTCTTCAAGGTCACTGAATTGCTTCAACAATGCCAATAAAAAGTTAAGTTTCATCAACATTTGTAAGCAAATGTAACTGATTGATAAGAATGAAACAAATTATAGTCAAGCTTAGATGATAGTCTTGCTAAAATGTTGAAACTTTTATGTTCTAATTCATATTGGATGCAGGGCTGCAAACGAACCGAGCCGAGCCAAGTACATGAGTGTTCATGTTTGTGTTTATTTAATATCAGCTTGTTCAAGTTTGGTTCATGTTTGTTCGAGCTTTATTGTTTGTGTTCATGTTTGGTTCATTTAAATTAATGAGTGTTCATGTTCGGTTCATGGTCAGTTCATGTTCGTTCGTTTAGTACTTATCGAGCTTGTTCGCGAACATATTTAACGATTTTTTTTACTATCAAACAAATATGTTCATTAACATATCTATGAACAAACACATTTATAATAAAAGTAATTGTCTATGTAACAAAGGGAATGATTATTTATATTTATTAATTTTATAGTCAAATATTAATTATTTTTATCTAGCTTATTCACGAGTTCAAAATCGACACAAGATCAAGCCTTTTTAATCAAGCTTTTATCGAGCTTAATGTCGAGCTTGTTCACGAACTTCAAATGATATTGTTCGCGAACATAAATGAGTCGAACGCATTAGTGTTCAAATTTGTTTATTTAAGAATCGAGTATTTAAAATATTGTTCAAGTTTGTTTGTTTAGCTAATTAAACGATCACAAACGAGCTTTAATCGAACCGAACAACGAGTAGCTCGTCAAACGTTTGGTTCGCTTGCAGCCCTAATTGGATGTCTAGGATTGTGGTTAGAGTAGGGAGTCAAATTTATGGGTTATGCAATGATGTTTGGAAAAGAATTACGGAAAGATAGATTAGAATAACCATGTCAATATCAGATAAGAACATTGAATTTTTTTCATGCCGGGAAGATCCACCATGAGGTTATTTTTTGTACTACACAATTAATAAAAAATAAATAAAGAAAGAAAAGATATTTATGTTATTTTTGTTTTTTTTTTTGGGACATTTAGGCCATTTAAGGCAAACTCACACACACAACGCATACACATGGACTCGAACCTTGGACCTCTTAGTTGGAAGCCTAAGCTTTCAACCAATAGGCCAAGGAGAGTTGTGTGTATTTATATTATTTTTGTTGATATTGAGAAAACATATGATTTATTGTTATAAGAAATATCGATGCATAATAAGAAACTAGACTTGTGAACAATGTGCGCTGAAACTATTAAAGATAAGTATAACAACAATAATATTAATAGTAATATGAGATCTCTTAGCTTTATGGGCTCTAGCGGTGTCTAGAGATTTGAGAGAGATAGATCATCCTTTCGAATAAATGATCAATTGTATCTTGGTATTTTCCATTTCCGTTTCCTCAAATAATACAAATTATCTGTTGTTTTCCTGGTTTTGTGTGGATTTTTGTGGAAAAATTCTCGTTGTTTTCCAAAGATAGAAATTCCTTGAGATCTATGAGTGTTTCCTATCAAAAACACAACAAGAAATTTATACAATTTTTTCAATTGATGTGTACAACTTGTCACTATAGCATATTACACTACAATGGAGATCCCTTCACAAAATACCTTTAATGAAACAACTTTTAATAACTAGGTCAATTTGCAATTGAGATTGCATAAGGCATTTCTTTATAGGATATAAATTAGGCTCCACAACATAAGAAAAATTAAGAAATGATTATATGAGAGGGGGATGATTGGAAAACATCTATTGAAGGCTTATTTGAAAATAGGCTGGTATAGTTTGAGATTTAACAAAATGTCAAAAATATATACCCATGGCAGGTAAGTAAAATTAGTGTTGAAGTACTAGAAAAGCAAATGAGTAGACATAACAGAATGTAAATTGAGTTAAACGAAACTGTAGATAACAAGTCTAGCTTATTATACAACATTCACCATAAATGAATGGAAAATGAAGATTCCTAAATCAAAGAGGATAACATTAATGAAAAGAAAATATTTCATTTGCCAATTCAAGATCAGAAATAATTAAAATCTTATTAGAAGACAGAATAGCAGCAATCTCAGGCAACAAAATAGCTTAAGCATATTTATAATTAAATTGTAAAAAACCACACAAATCAACATCTTTTTCTTGTTTCAGCATAGTTTTACAAAAAAAGTTTAAGTTCCACGTTCAGCTTTAAACTGATAATATCACGGAAAAAATATTATGTTAACATTACCTGTAAATGTCAGTGTAGCTTACAGTATCTGTTATATCATCAGTTTCACCAGCAATTCTTAAATCTAACCAGGCATCAATATCTACCAAGAACTTTTGACCTTGCTCCTTTTCCACAGGATGCACTCCATGAAATCCATAAAACTGCAACCCTCGCAAAATAAGTTTATCTTGGTTTTCTAAATTGCCTTCACCCATGTTTAAACCTGTAGCAAAATATCATCGTTAATGAATATCAATTCAACCTGCAACGGGCTTTTTATACAGCTCCAAGATTTACTGAACCCAGATTTACAGGATATACTAAATCCTATAAAGCTAAATCCTCCTTGTTGCCAAACAGGATTTATGCTTGAGCAGGATTTTATACCAAATCCTGTCAAACGGGATTTGAATGCCCGCTAAATCTCACGGCAGAACAAATCCTCTGCCTCCCCCTTTGGACCGTAAATCCTAGAATTTCGCAAATTTAGGTGATTTGGTCAAAGAAGCGTGCGAAAGGGAGAAAGATAGTTTACCTTCACAACAAGCGAGCTCTTGCAGTTGCTTCCGATTAAAATACCGTGACTTTCGATCCGATCCGACAGGAAGGGAAATCGTTTTTTTTTTAAGTGGCAGCGGTAGATATCACTTTCCAAAAAAAAAAGAAGCAAACCCTAAATGCCTCTAACCTATTGAGAAAAAAATTAATCTAATTTAACTTGATTAATATAATTTAAAATATTAATAATTAAGTAAATTAATTAATTAGAAGAATAATTAATGTATAATTAATTATTTAATTTAGCTTAATTAATATCATTTGAAATGGATATTATTAATTATATAAATTAATGGTGTAAATATTAAATAAATAATTAACTAGTGGTAGAATTATTTAATCAGATTAATGAGATAATTAATATTTAATTTATAATTAAAACTAATTAAATAACATTGAGATATTTAATTTAATTAATAATGAGATTATTTGTTAAATAATTAGTTATTTTAAAAAGTAATTAACTAACTAATTAGATAATTCTCAATATATTATAATATATATATATATATATATATATATAATATATATTATGATATATCATTGTACTATTGATAATAATTAAAATTGAAATTAATAAGTAATTTGTACTTAACATATTAAATTATTTTAAAACTTAAATTTAATTTTTAAATTGAACTAATTAGCCTTAAATACTGAGATTATATTGACAAATTAATGCCACATGATTTAATAGGATATTAGATGGTTATGTTGCCAAACAATTTTTCAACAAGAATAGAATTTACAAGATCCTAATTTGAAAGGATTTAAAGTGAAATTCTAACTCTGTTGCCCCAAAACAAGCCTTAGGGCATACTCCAACTGAAACGCTAAAACGAGTGTACTGGAGTCGTTCCGTCGCTCCAACCGAACTCCGAAAATTTTCCGTCATTTAATCGGCGGTGAACAGTGCGACGTTCAATAATTTGGCGTCGACTGTTCACTCACTGCATTTTACCAATTTTTTGCTCTCAACCGACAAAACACAGGCGAAAGGGAGAGCGATCGTTACCTTCATCAAAAACAACCCTAAAATGGGTTCACTTGGAGCATCACCGCTGCAATTTGGAGTTTTGCGTTAACATTAATTTGCCCGTTGAAAAATGAAGTTTTGCGGTTGGAGATGCCTTAGGGATACTCCAACAGGAAGCCTCAATTTCTTCTTTCTCATTTTTTATATTTATTTTTCAGGTCAAGCCTTATATTTATTCAATTTTTTCAAATTAAGCTTAAAATTTTTAAAAAAACTAATCTTACTAAAATAATAATTTATTAAATAAAATAAATTTACATTAGAATGCATAAATAGGAACGAAAACAAAATACTCATGCAACTCTAAATTACGTTGTATTTTATATTTATTTTGTAGCTTAAGTGATTTCTGTTTGTAATTAATATAATTGGGTTGTGCACTTAGCTTTTCCAATAATAACTCTTATTCGATAAATTAATTTGGAATATAAATATTTTAAATTAAAAATAATGTTGTTGTAAATAAAAATTATTTTAAATGCATAAGAACTAATTATATAAAAAAAGTATTTATAAACTATTATTTTTTTAATTATTAATAATAAAGAAAATACACTTAAAAAAGAAACTTTGTAAAGTTTGAATTTATTATTTGAGGCTATATTTCTTTTCAGATTAACTCGTTTGAATATTCTTGCTTATGCATGTAGACATATGCTTGGGTTACAAATAGAGGTGAGAATGAGATGGAGAAAATCATTAGTTAATTTGATTAAATCAAACATGTTTGTCCAAGAAAAAAAATGGTGGGCATATTTCTTTAATTTTGAATGTTATGAGGGCATGTAAAGTCAATTTTTTTTTACTATTTAGAAAATTAACAACCTCTTACTAGTTACTGATTAATAAGAATATTAACTTATGTCATTTCAAATGTCTGGTCGCTTCGCTCTGCAAGGGTTTTCACCCTTCTTCGCCTTTCGCTGCGAGGATGCCTGTCGCCTCAGGGAAGCTTCTTCTCTCTAGTTTTCCCTGTTTTTTTCCTTTGCGGGTCTTTATGGCGGATCGGCTTCGCGACCGCGGTTTTTTTGAATGGAGCTTCTCCGGCTCTTTCGTTTAAGGAAGCTTTGTCTAGCGCTTCTTCGTCTTTGGTTCCTTTTCCGAATTTGCGTATTTCGTCACACCGTGGGTTACCGGCGTTGTTTATTTCTGAGGAATAAGTTTGTTCGCTTGCTGCTCCTTTCGAATTTTCTTTGGTTGGTCGGTTTCCTGGAAAGCGGCCATCTATCAATGCAATTCGAATTTTTTTTTTTTTTATATTTGAAACTTATAGGCGAGTGTTCGGTCATGGTTCTTAACCCTAGGAACGTTTTGATTAAGCTCCTGAATGACTTTGGTTATTGTCGTATCTTCTCTCACCGTTCCTATTTCATGAATAATTGCTATATGAAAGTGGTGAAATGGTCCCCTAATTTGGATGTTGAGGTTGATTCCCTGATTGTTCCTATATGGGTTTCATTTCTCCATCTTAGACCACATCTCTTCTCTCCTAGGATTCTCTTTGGTCGTACGTTGAAATCGGACACAGCTACGGCCGTCCTTCGGTTGCTCACATTCTCGTTGAATTAGATGTCACCAAAAAGTTCACTGATAAGATCTGGGTAGATTCTACTAATACGGGATACGTTCAATCTGTTATTTTTTGATGATATCCCTCATTTTTGTTTGCACTGTAACTCATTAGGCCATTTGAAGGATGATTGTTGTATTTTGCATCCTCATCTTAAAAAAGTGCCTAAAACTGTGGCTGCTCCGTGCATGATGTCTGGAATGAATGTGATTAATGATGGTTTTAATGATGCTCTTAACCCGTATGCTAATTTAGTTCCCCAATCTGTTGAGAATATGGCTATTTTGACGGAGAATGTCCACTAATTTAATCCCCCAATCGATGATGCTACTGTTTTGTCCCCTGATGCCTTACCTTTTGTTCCACCTATTATTGATTTGGGTTCTCTAGATCCTATTTCTGCTGCTCATTTGCTTGTTAATTCAATGAATGGTTTGAATCTTGTTGATGAGGCTGGTGCTGATGTGTCCTCTGTGAAGGTTGTGGCTGGGGACCCTCGGGCTTGTAATAGTGCTGATGGTCATCTTGATTATGCTATTAATTCCGGTCCCATGTTGTTGGTGATGTCTGCCCCGAGCATCTTGGCTGCTATTTCAATGCCTCCTGTGGTTGTGGAATGCCCGAATGGGTCTGTTCCTTCTACTGATATTTTGGGTGGGGTTATGTGTGAGACTTATGCTAATTCGATCTCTAAGTCTACTGCCCCCTCCAGTTCGTCCCCTGTTATAAATGTCGGTTTAGTTCATAACTCTTTTATTGATGTGCCAATTAATTTAATTGACCCTCAAGCCTTGGTGTATCATGTGGAGGACAATTCTGGGATGGATGTGCGTGTGCATGTCGATTGGCTTCAATGTTCGTCCGATTCCGATTCCATTTCTTTGGAATCTTTTGGTGATGATGATCTTAGGAATATTGTTGCCTTGCTGCATGACGAACCGGTTGTTTCTGTTGCCTCTCGTGGAAGGGCTCGTGGGAGGGGCAGACGTGGTAGGTAATTTCTGTGGGAGGTGCTGGTGGTTGCCTCCCTGGTTTACTTGTTGGATGCCTTTCTGGTTGATAGTCCCTGGTATTGTTAATTTGGCTGTTTGGATGGACCTTTTGTTTGCCTTCCTATGATGGTTCTTGCTGGCAGATACATTGTGCTTGTTTTCTGGAGCTCTCCTATTTATTTTTTCAGTTGGCCGGGCAATGATGTGGCTAGGGCTCGATTCTACGTCGGCATGACTCGTGGCAACCTTTGGTGTAGATTTTCATCTAGTTAAGTTTTTATGTTAAATTAGTTTTTATAAATTACTAGTTCCTGATTAATAAGAATATTAACTTATGCAAACTATAATTGATAAAAATCATTCAATAAAGTAAACATATTAACCTTAATAATTAATATTAATTTATTTAGAAATTATTATCGTTAATAAATTAATATGCATTTTATTTAATTAATCTAAATAAAAAATATTGTTTATTTATTTTATCAAATTGTTCATTATTAATTATTTAAGATGTAATTAAATGAATTACAATTTAATTAATATAGCTTAAATTATTTTTTTTTTTAAAAAAAATTAATTGAATTCAATATTTATGATATCAAATAATTTTTCAAAATTAAACTACCATAAAATTTATTAAATTTAAATCCATAGAATTGAAATTCTACTTTACTGGAATTTTTTTTTTCAATTTTAGTGGAATTGTTCTTCAACCATTCAACTCATTAGGGTTTTATCTCAAATTCAAATATTATGCATATACTAAAAACTCTTCAATGAACTTTGTATTCCAAGGATTTGATTGACATGACTGAAGTACCTCTTCAAGAAGGGGATATGATTAGAAGACTCAATTTCATTTGGGATGACTTTTTTACAACTTTCTAAATAAACTTTTTTAATACAACTAGAAAGCTATAAGAAAGCTGTCCCAAACGAAAACCTCAATAATGTTGGATAAGCTAAGAAGACTAAGATGTTAGGCAAGATATTCTCAAGAGAAAAAAAATGTTGTTGAGAGAAACTTAACTTGAGAGCATCCCTATTGAGTGGGAACTCAATAAAAGGAATTGGAAAGAGCACTCAAGAGCCAAATGACTCAAAAATTATGTGCTCATTATGTTTTGATGTCAAATTTGATGATGTCTCATTGTAACCCCTCCCCTTCTCCCCAATTATAGTTATGATTTCTTGCATTAAATGTCTAATTTTTATATATATACACTCCTTATATTTAACAGCAAAATCCAATAAAAAGATCACCTGACAGATGAAGCCTTTTAGTAACTATGTAATAAACAATGAAAATACACTCTGTAAATAGCTTAATAGTATATAATGCACAACAATGAACTACATTGGCTAACAGGCAAACCAGTAATCCATCCATGAAAACATTACATAAAATAGCAGGGAATTAGTCCTGCCTCAGTGCCAGTTTCCCCCAAGAAAAAAGAAAGAAAAATAATCAACACATACAACAAAAAGTAAAATGTTAGAATGCCTAATGGCTGCAAAAAAACAAATGATTGTTATCAAGAGTAATCATACAGTGAAATGCTCTTATCATCTGAAACGCTGGCGAGCCGACCTGCTCGAACGCCGGTTCCGCCAGGTGGACGAAAAGCCACGCTCCATACTTGATCTGAGTGGCTAGTCATTGTTTGGACAGAAGCCCTCATGGTTAGATCCCAGAGCCGGACAGTTCGATCGCTGGAACCAGTAGCAATGGCTGCACCATCTGGGCTGGCATCCACGCTCAGCACCCAGCTTGCATGCCCAGACATGCTGGCAACCAAATTCTTGCCCTCGGCGTCATACATATGAACATGGGTGTCGTCGCAGGCCGAGAAAAGTACACGAGAATCCAAAGGGGAGTACACGAGCGATCGAACAGGCATGAAATGGCCATCGAGATGGTGGAGGAATTTTCCGCGGTGAACATCGAAGACAGAAATTGTGCCATCCATGGATCCGCAAGCTAGCCGTTTCCCATCTGGGCTCCAAGCAACTGAGAGAACAAACTTGCCTCCGCCGGTACGGTCTGTAGGACGAGAACTCTCTTGCCGGGGAATAGCTAGAGAATCAACGAGCTGCCATGAGGATGTGTCCCATAGCTTGACTGAAGCACTGCTACCTCCTGCCACTGCTAAAATGGTGCCCTGAGGAAAACCTTGTTATTTCTTATTTTCCTCATATGGATATAACTAAAACTGTGTAATAAGATGTATTGTTTTCACTTATCAAAGCAGAAAGTTGAGGCAAATAGTGTAAACTGGCGTATTTTGTATGTACTAATGGCTGCTTAAATGAGAGAACACATACAACTTCAACTTGAAAGTATTGGTGTGAGAAAAACTAATAACCTCAATTGGATAAGTACCATATTTAAAGTCAGTATTTTCTAGCGAGTTAAGAGAAGGACCAGTTCTTCTGAATGGAGTTTAAAGAGAACCAACCATACCTTATATAGTATACGAACTTGGACATCATGTTTATATATAGTATACGAACTTGGAAAAATGTTTACAAAGGGCGATATTTGAAAACGTGCAAATGAGATGGATAAATGCACGTTTACGGAAAATGTTCCTATCAAAGAAGCAAATGCTCAAATGTGGTTTCTTACGATCTTCAAATGATATATTTTCCTTGCAATATCATCTATGATGCACAGACACACGGCGACACAGATACGACACGACAATGATTGAAAATAATAAAATATAAGACACAAACACGAGTTGGAAACAATATTATAATTTTAATATTTTAAAAATAGTTTATAAAAATTGAAGAAGTATAATATAAAAATAATAAGTCATTTAATTAGAATTTGTATTTAAAATAATTAATATTAGAATTTCAAGAGTTCGGTGTCGGTGTCGTGTATCAAGCATGAAGAGAGGAGACGACAATGCTGTTGAAAGTCAGGCATCGATGCATATGCAATAAGTATTGGGCGCTAATGTCAAGAGAGCATCTATAGTTTGAGAGGGTGTTGGTCGTCGATGTTTAGACGACGTCGAACAAAGAGCAGAAAAGCATGAAGCTAAAGAAGGATCTGTATCTGATCTACCCTAATAAAGAGGGGTATGCAAACTCAGAGAATCAAAGAAGTCGGATACAAAGAAAAGGAAAGAAGGGTCTGTATCTGATGTCCCCTGCTAAATAAGGGTTTAGAAACTCAGAATAAAAAAAGTACGAGACAAGGAAAAGGAACTAAGAGTAGATGAGATAATGAAGATAAAATGAACGAGATAACAAAAGGATTTTATAGGTGCGATGGATTAACGTTCATAGGTGCAATGGATTAAGATTCATAGGTGCAATGGATTAAGAGTTCCCCGAAGAGTCAGGACAAAGTTAGGAAAAGTGAAATATGAAAGGGAAAAGACAAATTAGAGTTCACTTACAATAATTTCGAATTAGCCGAGACAAACTTGAAATCAACTTTAGAAAAAAAAAACTTAGTATGGCGTGAAGCTAGAAGCTTTTCTAGAACTGAATTGAACAGATCGATCCAAATAAAAGTTCAAGTGATTTTTGAGATGTTTTCAATTTCGGATCATTATTATCACCCCTAATATATATAGCAACAATAGGTTAGACAGTGAACTAAAGCAGGACAAAATTGTGATCACAGTGAAAATGATTTAGGCATGATGGCAAGGAAGACAAGTTTTAATAGAAAGAGGTGCTTGAAGCCATGGAAACAGTAGAACACTAGCCATGAATAAGAAGCCTAGAACTCCCACCTCAGACAACAGGCAATAAAAAATAAAGTATTATTGGCTATTAGCAGTTAATAATCGATTATTTTAACTTTGCTTATCAGGCATTTTCAAACAAAGTAAAACTAGCTCCTCTCTCATTTAGTTTACTTGCAAAAATAAAGTAACAATTTCAAGAATCCTATAGGAAAGGGAAATGAATTGACCAATGAATAACATGGTGCACGAAACATAAAAATGCCACCTAACGATATAATCTGAATTATGTTTTGATGAGAGAAAGCAATAGAGAGAGACATAAAGCAATAAACAGCATAGAAGGATCCCAGAAAAGAAGAGAAACTAGCAGGAGGATCATCTTAAGTTTCTACCAATGCTCAGGATAACAATCCAGAGTTCAGCTTTATCAAAACAATAAACATTTATTACAGAAGTTAATTGATGGTGACGAAACATTACTGAATATGTAAGGTAATACAGAATAAAGTAAAGAGACGAAAAAATATTAAAAAAACAAAAGGTTGATAAACAAAATGCTAAAAAAAACAAGCTATCAAGATACTTCCGACCAAGCATCGCCAAATTCAACATTAGAAGATAAACATTTAACATAATTGAATGCCATAAGCTTCAACATTTCGGATGTCAATTATAGTATTATAATTATAGGTTCTCTACTTGAGTATGCGGAATCTCCATCATCAAACTTCCATCAGAAGATGCTTATCTTAACAACTGTTAATTAAAAAAAAAATCATTTTACCCGGGCAGCCCAGCCCAACTAATCATGAGAAGAAATTGCACGGCTCTTTCTATGATTTATGCCTCCACCTTCATGTTATTGTGAGGACTTGAAAAAGGTTAGGGGTTTTTTCAGACAGCATATGACCACCCCCACCCCCTCCTCTCCCTCCCTCGTTATCTTTCTCTTATTTGTAATTGTTCATGTTTTAATTATCATTATACCCTTCTTTCACAATCATTGGAAGCAAAGCTGAATACCCCTTGGTGTTTTTGTCTCCTCCTTTAGGACGGAGCTCCTTCATCCTTATGTTAGAGAAGAGTTCCTCACCATAAAAAGTTGAGGAAATCACCTTTGAACCTGATGATTTCCACACGAGGAAATCAAGGCAATCGGTACCACATGGCCGATTGTTATGATAACCGGCCAAATGGTGCAACTCCAATGCTAATACCCTCTTCAAGGCGTTTTTCTCTTGTAGTTTAGCCATATGGACCTTAGGGGGCTTAGCAAGGGGCAAGTCACTTAATTAGTGAAAGCAATTTGCATATGCGGGGATGGTTCGATTTGCTTATGAGTGCAAGCAATTTGTTGTGACATATTACAAGTTAAAGTTCGGAGGGGAGAGAAGTATTAATTATGTTACCATTTCAATTTCTCTATTTATATCTGATGAAAAATAATAAGTCGATGTTTGAGTATTAAAGTGCAAAAAGTGACTAGTCCATATATTTATGAATGCTTCACCTACAAAATGTTATAGTCCCATTTTCTATCTAAAATTTTCCCATCCAAAACAATTCCATGAGATTAGAGTTGATATTAAGTCAAGATTGAAAGAGCCAACCAAGACTAGGGAGCTCAATAAACAACAAGATTTTTGGCAAAGCCATGGTTTCTTTCTATGGTCTACCATTTCTTAATATTTTTTACTTTTTTAGAATTAAGTTATATGATTACAATGAAACTATCATATTTTAGATGAGATTGCTTGAGTCCCATGTGAAACTGAATTAGGGGTTTAAGTAAAAGTTCTCAACTTGAAATCGAATATTTTGATTGTAGCACTAGTCAATTTTTGGGCTGCTACGCCAAAATTTAATATATATAATTAAAATTTTAAGATTAAGGCGAGCTAAATTTGCTAATTATCAAATTTCGACTGCTAATTCCATGTCCTACTTGGTCAAATACTAAAAACTTACAAGATTTTTTAGTTTTCAACCCTGTCGAACCAAGATTCAGATGCATGTAGATAACCTGAAATTAAGGCAATACTCTCATGGCAATCACATTTCCAATGAATTTTTTTTCCTTCATATTGTAAAGAATTGTTCTAGATAGGAAGGTTTTGTTGACAAAAAAGGACCGTCACTTATCATAGTTAGAGTATTAATAAATTTATGACTAATCACCATTTTCTAATATAACACTCAAATTTTGACTTTCAATTTTTTTCCTTATTAAGTAAATGACCCTTCATGGAGCAATTAACCCTAGGGTCCATGTGGTTGGATTGAGAGATTATTGACACCGGAGAAGAGTGATTGGCATGTGGGATTGCCCAAACAAGGGAAGTTGATTCGGTGACTACCCATGTAGCACCAACTGTCATTATATTTGACAATTTACCCAAAGAAAATCACCAACTCCACTGGTGATTGGCTCCTTAAAATTGTATGTGGTGAAGCTCCTCCTCTTTAAGACTTGAAGGAATGAGCTCCTTCCTAAAATTTTTCATTCTCTTTTGAAACAACATTGCCCTTCATCATACAATCTTCACCATCGACGCCATTGAAGTGTTCTAGCCTTATTCATCACTTTGTTCATCCTCCCATCTTTTCATTTGTTGTAGGTGTCACATAAAATTGGTCCATATGCTTATGGAAAATTAGATGGCCACTAATTGCCAGAAATTCCTCTTCCTCGTCTCTTGTACCACAACAACAACAACATCAAGCCTTTGTCCCACTACGTGGGGTCGGCTACATGAATCCTTTTTCTCCATTGTGTCATATTAAAAGTCAAATTCTCATTTAAATCTAATAAAGAAAGATCATTTCTAATATTTTCTAGTCTTTTTAGGTCTACCTATACCTTTCTTAACATAAGTCAAATATAATATCTCTACTTTCCTAACCGGGTCATCGGAAGGCCGCCGTTTTATGTGACCAAACCATCTAAGACGAATCTCTCTAATCATACCTTCCACTGGAGCTACTCCAACGTTTTCACGTATATGCTCATTTCGTATCTTATCTCTAAGGGTAAAGCCGCTCATCCACCTGAGCATCCTCATCTCTGCAACACTTAACTTAGTATTATTTTAATGGCCAACATTCAGCACCATATAGCATTGCAGGTCTCACCACCATCTTATAGAATTTTCCCCATCTGTGTACCAATGCATAATAAATAGATCAATTAATCACTTAATTATTTATAGTTAGGTTAGATAAGGATCTAGATATATTATTAATTATCATATGTTTAATTAATTTTAAAACCTAAAATCTTCTAATTTGAGATTCTTATTGGTGGTATTTTGTAAAAAAAAATTATTGGTGGTATTTTTATGGATTTCATGAAGGCACTTGATTTGAGTACTATGACTCAATGCAAATAATTTTTCTTTATAGGGTATAAATATATCCTTGTTCTCTATGTTTCCCTTGACAATTTTTATATGTTTAATGATTGTTACTAAATCATTGATCATGCTTTATTTGCATGTACTTACTATCTTGTGCATATCAATAATTGTATATGTTAGAAATTGTGATGTTTAATATGTTTACCTTGATTATTGCTGCATAAATTCAGTATTGTAATGGACCATGTGATTGTACACTCGGTCCTAATTTGAATATTAATTTAATATTGCAAAGTCAAATCATGCTTAAACTATTCATATAATATCTCAGTTAGTCAACTTGCTCATGATCTAACATGGAAATGGATTATGCTGGTGTGTTTGATGAAAAAGATCATCAACAATAACTTTTAGATTGATATTTTGTTGGCTATTTTAATCTACAAACCTGATATGGATAGTTAAAATCCTCTAAAGGGTGGTTAACATACCAAGTCAAGTTGGCAACAACCTTTCATTCAATTTAGAGTACTACTGGAGCCAACATGCATTATACAAATATTATTGATTTTAGTCTCTTGAAACATTTATTTACATGTAATTATGAAGAGAATGCTTGTTGTTACCTTTACATTTATTTTCATTGACTAGCATAAATAGAATGTTGCTTATTATGAACTCTATTGCATAATTATCATTGCTTAATAATTATTATTTCAAGTAATTTTATTGCATAAGATCAATGCAGTAGTTAAAGCAATTATTATATATAGTCCTGATAATCAAGCTACTTCATTAATCATACATACTCCATGCATTGTCATTTATGTCTTCATAAGTACAAATTGCATGTTAAGTTTCCTTGTAAGCTCTCCCATGTTGTTAATGCATATCAAATCAACCAAGTTGCTTGGCATATCATCATCGTAAGAGCAATTTCAACAGTAATATGTTTTCTTTGGGGCAGAGTACTATTTTTCATTCAATAGTTCTTTTTTTTTAATTTGAGCCAGTTGTGTTAGGAACATCTTTAGTTTCGCAATTGTAGCTTGTTGCATTTCTTTTCAATTAATGACTTGTATTGGTTTCCATGATGACAAATTGTTAATAGTATTATTCCATTAATGAGAGAATACATTCCAGATCTATTATGATTGTTAAGCTATCTTAATAAATTTCTTGCCTTGGTGATATAAAATTTGTCTCACGTAGCCTTAAACTCAAAAGTATGTCTGGTGATTTAAGGTCAAGTCTCTTCATCACTCATTTTCCTAACTTATAGTATTGTTATAAATTCACCTATGTTTTCTTAAATATTTATAGACTTATGTTTTTTTTTCCCAGTCCCATTTAATGGGACAGAATGCCACTTAAGAGAAGGAGAATTGCTATTGTTGAAGCTAGTAGTAATCATAGGTTTACTTCTAGGAAAGCAAACCTATCCCTAAAGGTCCTAGCTCTACTAATAGTTGTGATGTTTCTGTTTAGTTTGCCAGGAAGTTAGAGTATTATAGATATAGTTCGACTCCTAACTTTGCTTCTTTTGAGAATTAAAACCGCTCACCTAATCCATAACGTTTAAGAATCATTAGTTTGCAAGAATTAATCTCCCTCTTTCTACATGAAAATGCTTGATACACAACCTCTTTATAAGTAGTATTGTTGCTCATGATAAAATAAGAATATCCTGGTATCATTTATTATAAATTACATTATAAGAATCAATTAATCTTCTAATTTTCATGTTGCCCAAAGACAGGAAAAAAAAAACTAAATATTGGTGAATTGTGTCTCGCAATCATGAAATATCTTTAGATGTTTTAATAGCTTCTCTATTAGAAAGTACAACCCAAAAAATAGTCTCACAAAATTTATCAAATGAATCATTGTGTTAAGCTCGAAGTTGTTGCGATGATGACCCTCCCACTTGCCATAAGTACCATCACAAAGATTAAAGAATGCCAAATTCACTTTATATTATTACAACACTTCAAAACTATAAGACCTTGATTGGTATTATAAAATCAAGCATTGGACTCGATAGATCAAGTTAAACCATTAAAACTTGGAGAAACCTAAATCTAACCCATATCTCAATATATCATCTCCATCGCTCATTTGTCATATGCAGCCCTATTCCCTACGTCTGTATGAGTAATTACATCCACTTGGTTCACCAAATTTGTTTTAAGTAATATTGGCTACTAATACAAGCTCCGCCCATAAAAAATTCTAAACCCAAACATAAACCATTTCTTAGACCATCATAGAGTTTGCCTAAGTCCTTTTTCCCATAGCCTCTTTACTAAACCTCTCAACCACACCTTCCCAGACTTTCCAAAATTCTTAGATTATGAAACATAAAAGCAAAATTATCCATCATTATAGCTCCACTACATAACACCATGAGCCAAGTGTTTCAAAACCAACTTATGAGAGCACTTGATTATCCATTGATATCCATATGCCTAAGTGCAAAAAACACAACATTACTGAGGTTTTTAGATCACCTATATTATGTATTTATAAGATGGAGTCAATCCCATGAAGAAACTAGTTAGAGACTATTAATTGCTACATCTCATAATATGCAAATAATTGGATGTAGAACAAAATTACTGGGTCCCTCATAGAGCATTAGTGAGATGCCTTCCCTTGACAATATTGCTATTAGGGTGATCTTTTGTTTCTATGGATCGTAGCAGACCTCCCTAGATGAATATCAATTAGTGAAAATTTACTATTATGATATAGTTGACTCTCAACGGGCAATGATCCCAAAAGAATAATATCTATTTATTTGAATTTTAAAGTGGAAAATTCAGACAACTGCTAGATATTTATATTACAATATTGAACATATCATCTTCTAATTCTTTCATCTTTTGAGTCTTACCACATTTATCCCAAAGTAGCTACTTAATGATGGAATTGGCTTCACATACGATAAATATAGGATAATTCAAAGAAATTTTTGAAGATAAAGGCTCTCTGCAGGATCGGGAACTAATGTTGCCTTCAATAGTTTTTGTATTTCAGACAACTGTGTTTGGCATTTGTTTAGTTTCATGCTTATAACTTAATTTTTTTTTCTAATTGTACTGATAAAAATAATATTTGAAACCAGTTATCATTATTGAGTTGTTTTGTAGATGTCTTTTGCCTAGGTGATATAGAATTGTTTTAGGTGGCCTTAACTTTGGAGTGTAATAGGATACCTAGTGAGTTGAGTTTAAATCTTTTGATCTTGTTCTGTGTTGCTGAGTACACAAAGGGTGATTGCTTCGTTCAAAATCAATATTTATTTGTACGGTAAAATAGTGAAAGTAGGGGCAGTAAATGGTTTGCACCCTAAAAAACTCTAGCCAAAAGGGTAATCCAGGCATACAAAATAAACATTTTAAGAACTGTTAACATCAAACCAGCACAACGCATAGAAGAAAGAAAAATCAAGCGACTATCAAGGAACCATGAAGCCCTAATAATGCAACAGAACAAAGGCCTCACCTTTGGTTCGAACTGCATGTTCCAGACCTCAGAGGGCGGCGCCTCTAGGGTTGCGATAGAACTGTTGCTCTCAACATCGAACACTCGGATGAAACTATCAAGAGATGCGGAGGCGGCGACCACGCCGCTGGGATGGGCGGCGACTGAGACGACACCGAGGGCATGGCCGCCTAACGGAGGCGCCGCCGGAGATAGCTCGTCAGTGCGCCATAGACGCACTGTCTCGTCGAGGGAACCAGTGAGAAGTAGCGCCGGTCGGTTATCCGTCGCAGGAACCCATGCCGACGCCCATATGGACTCGTCGTGAGCGTTTTCTGCTGTCTTCAAACCGGCCAATTTCATCTTTTATTGGGGGAGAAGGGCAATGGGTTTTGGGCGAAATTTAGAACGTCGTGGAAGGCATGGCGGCAGCGTGCTTGGCTTGTGTTTAGGGTTTGCTGATGGATTCGGCGAGCAATAGAACAGAGGAACTGCTGCGGATCACCGCTATGAAACTGAATTTTACGGCCAAATTTTAAATTGAAGAGACCAACATTTCATTTTAAAATCTAATTAAATTTAGGTCAAAATAATAATGATAAATTTAATAAAAAAATTAAATTATTTTGAGCAATATTTAATTATTTATTCTCTTAATAGAGTGGTCATTATCATAAATTATTATTTAAAAAATGCTTAAATTGTATTTTTTTAAATTTATTTCCAATGGTTTGATATTACTCATAAAATAAAAATTTTACTAATATGATTTTTTTCTTTATTTTTAATAAAAAATCAATGAACTTAGATTAAAATTCAAACACTGATTCAATAATGCTATGACAAGATGAATCTAATAATGCTAAAATCATCCAAATATTAAAAAAAAAATAGATCTAAAGTATAATTATATACTTTTAAAAAATTATTTGAAGAATTGAGAGAAATTTTAATTTATATGAGTTGATTGAAAAGAGTTTTTCACTGAGATAATTCCAAAAAGTTTGAAATCACGCTAATCTTAGATTTTTTGTAAATAAAATTGATAGAAAAAAATAAATTGATTCCATCATTTTATCTCTTTTCTTTCTCCTCCATCCAAACATTCCATAGTTATGACCTTCCACAATGTGCCCAACATCACTGCCATCGTTGCTTCTTTTTTATGGGTTGATTGATGTCATCTATGGTAAGCCCTTGTTATGGAGAAAGTATTATGTGTTGACATCAAATCGTCCGGAAGCGAATTAGAACACCCCACGTCATTTTTTTGTTGTGTACTGCGTCTGTGTACCACTGTGTATCGGGTGACGTAGCAGTACACAACTGCGATACACTATAAAAAAGTGATGTGGCTCATTCTAATTCATCTCTGAACAATGTTCGTATTCGCACATAATAATTTTACCTTGTTATGAGCAAATTTGTTGAACCAATGAATCTAGGATGAAGTCATTCTATTTATACGTAGTTCGTCATGGATAAAATTGAGGTCTAAACAACTCAAAGCCCTTGCAACCTTTATAAGCAATCGAATCATGAGCTACTTATAGCACTAAATTGCTCGCATGAAGCGGACCATTTTGCCATTAAATTGTAATGTCACCACTCACCATTTTCACTAGCCTAAATTTGAACTATCAATGACAATGGTTTGCATTTGTAGCCATAAACAAAATATTAAGAAAGATTATGTCTAATCTTCATTTAATTGAAAAAAAGACAATCTATAGTTCAAAGTTTATTTAGATGATATGATTGTTAGAATTTTGATTTGTTAACTCTATTGCACTAATAGCACAAAGAACATTAAGATGGTGCATATTATTGTTACTTTTCATATTTGGTTAATAGCGATGTAAATTTGATGATAATAACTTTTCTATATTGATAATAACATCATAACAAATTACAACATATGCATTTTTTTTTGTAAATTGAGAATGAATGATTCTTTTCATAAATGGATGATGTGCGTAATGTTATTTATATATGTATCATGATGATCAATTCCTTGCATGATGATGACTTCATTCGCAAAATAAATAAAAAAATCTTGTTGTACTGATATATTATGTTCTTACCACAAAACATCATATTTCTACGACGACTTTCTTATTTGGCATCTCCATCACACTTGAAGGAACTCTACAGTTAGAGTTAAAATAACTATTGTAGGTTGCTATGTCAATACTTGTATAGTAAAAAGAAAACCAAAAGTGGAAGAAAAACACATGGATGATATGTGATGATCAAATTATTGCACCATAAATGGATGATACGTAGCATTTTTATTTTGCTTCAAGAAAAAATTGATACAACGGAATATATATCCAAGCATCCTTCTTGCAGTTTTTGTTCATCTATTTTGAATTTGATAATCTGCATGTAGTGTGAAAGTGATTAACTGAAGGTCTTATTGCTTGAATCGGAAGGGTAGTATTTTTTCAAAATTTTCTGGACTTTTATCAGCAAGTGCATGCCTTCTCTCTATTTTAAATCAATTAAGTGAATGTTAATCACTAGATATTTTTATTATAATTTTTTTCCAATGTGAGATTAAAAACAAAATTCTTACATCTTCAATCAAAAGGATCAGACTCAATCTTAAGCTCATTTTATGACCCGCACACTATCCACATATGTCAAGTGTGTACGTAAATCACGCCGTCGGGACCCATACAATTATTCATGTTTGCAAAATGATCGGTGTATTTGATATGATGTGCATGATATATATCATACATATCATAATGCGTTTGTATGATTAATATGTTATGTTTGCATGATTGATATGATGCGTCAGTAAGACTATCATGATATACTTGTAGGAGGCATTCATGTGTTATTTGCATGTTTGCATAACTCATTTTTTGGTGGTTTAATGCATGTGTAATGTATAATATATTTGCAGGTCAATGCGACGTGACACTATGACACAGTTTGCTTTGTATGTTGGAGGACATGCTTGCACAGTATGTTTTGCATGTTGTAATACATGTGCGTGCATTGTATTTGCATGTTAATATGATGTGCTACTACAGTATAATGCATCTTGCAATACTGGATGTCATGCCTGAATAAAACATTCTACAAATTGCAATGCATGTAGGAGGGTATTTTAAAGTGTTTGACACTAATCAGTTGTGTGGCGCTACATTATGGGTTGTCCATTGCTTATTTTAGGTAGGTTGTTGTGCAATACTAAACTCTCATTGGCAAGTAGTGATCATTTGAAAGATGCACGAACTTCCTTAGATAGCATATGAACGCCTTTTGTCTGCTTATACAAATGTTGAAGATTCGGTGACGTGATGCTACACTATTGATCTTTAGAGCTCGAAGAAAGAACCACGTTCATCTAGCTCAGCTCAATCATCATCATCTTAATTTACTATTTTGTGCCTCACTCAAATTAATCTCCACCATCTTATTTGGCTCGTCATTTGTTGTTTTTCTTGACTCAATCACTGTCTTCATCTTCTTCTTCTCAACAGCTTGGTTGGACTTCTTCCTTTCAGCCTCCACTACCTTACACTTGCAAAGAAGGGCCTTCCTCAAATTCAAGCAAGTTAAAAGAACTTAGTTAAGGAAAAATAAAGGGAGAAGCACGGCTTTATCAACATCCTTTGCTGCTATTTATAGCCAAAGGTAATACAATGGTCAAGTCAATTTTATTATGAGAATCTTGGATGAAGACACTCCTTTTGAGGCAATAATAAAAAGTATGGCTGTAATTTTCATTTACTTTTTTTTTTTTTTTTTTTTAATTTTCATTTACTTTTTTTTTTTTTTGAAAATTTTGTAAAGATTATACCATGAAAGGGATTCTCCTTAAGGGGAACACAGCTAGAAGGATTCACTCCTCTCAGCAATTGTTCTCATCTAAGGTCATTCACCTATTGTATATCTCATATTCTGAGCTAAAAGAAGCCTATATTTGTCCCCAACTTATAGTCATGTTCACCCAGGAGACTCATCTTAGACACTTGCTTCTTAGGATTTGCTTGAAGTGCTCGCATCTAGGACTCACCCAAGGTACTCACCAAAGACTTCCTCAAGCCAAGTTAGCAGCATAGTGCCATGTCAAAGGCCAAAGTCCGTGTGTGCGACCTCCACCTTAGTCGACATGCCTATGTCAGTTTGTACCTATTAGATCATGCACTATTTCTTTTAGTTTTCTCTTGATATAACATTTTATGTAGTTTTTTAACCTTATAAATAAGAGGTTTTGAGGTATTTTTTGAACTTCATTTTTTTTTTATTCACAAGGACTTTTATCTTCTCCCGTACCCTACATTCTTATTGATTCTCTCATTCGTTCTTTTGTTCAAACTTACTAAACCAGTTAGTAGAGTTTGGTGTCGTCCATGAACAAATTTGAATCCAACAGTTACGAACTAAAACATTAAATAGAAATTCAAATTGAAACTGATGCAAATTTCATTCAATAATCTACTAATTATAAAGAAAACAATTATAGCTTCCTAAAATAACAACACAATTATGATTGTGTGAATTAACAATAAAAACAAAATCTAACATTGCTTAAGAAATTATTAAGCAATCGTAACTTCAATGTTATCTCACAAGAGGGAGAAAGCAAAATTCGATTGATGCAATCCAATTGAATTCCATTGAGTGGCCTTAAATAGTCTCTCTCCCCCCCACATTGTGCTTCCCTATCAAAAAACCAATTAAGCCACCGGCAACCCAAGATCCCCTCGCACGCAACCAAAAAGTCGGGTCACAAAGAAAACGGAAAAAGGAAATGCATTTTCATGAATACTCAACAAAATTATTCAACTTTTAGATGGTTGGAAATCTAAAATTCTGTCATCTACTAAGCGACTACAATACATTAGATTTCCTATATAGAATATCATCACATATCGGATCTACGGTGCCATTATACCTAAATCTTGCCTTAAGTTTTTAAATAAGATATGTGTCAAATTCCTTTTTCATGGTGAAACCAATGGGCACCAACTTTTCCTGGTCTCATAAGAGAATACTTGTAAACCTATTCAAAATGGGGGCATTGGGATGCCTGAACTTTTTGATCTTGCCAACGCTTTTATTGCTCTTTAATCTGGAGGTTTCTGATGACCAATTCTTTATTATCTCACTTGTGGAGACACAAGTATACTTCCCTCTGGAAATTTTTAGCCAAGCTTGCACATAAAATCAAAGGGTTCTTATCTATAATCCTTTCAAAAGACACCAGTTGGTTATTTTCTTGGGACCCTTGGTTCAATTGAAGCTCTATTGCTAATGATTTTGCCAATATCTTTCATATACCAGCTAAAACTCCTGTTTTTGTTTTTGCTAATTTGTGCATTCCATCTGCTTAGTCTGATGTTTTGAAGGAAAGGATTTATAATTTGCATCTCTATTCTAATACCTACAATTCTCTGCTTTGGATGAACTCCGATCTTCTAAGGTTTCTTTTGGAATAATTTTATTATTGTTTTAAAAACAACTTTTTTGTACACAAAATTTTTAGTTTAATTTATATATATAAACTACT